GTAAAAGTTAAAGACCGTAAAACGTTAAAGATGACACTTTGATTAAAAAAATACCAACTCTAACTCCCAATTTACCACGGCTTTCTCTTGAGCATATTGCTAAAACTTTTTAAAACAAATCTCAGCACAGAGAGTTTGTCCAGAACGGGTGGTTTCTTTTGAGCTTTTACATTTAGGGGGACCGCGAATTCCAGCAAACGCAGAACACAAAGCTACGCCGCTTGGCATCTCGCGATGTTTATATTTTGAGTCACAAGCACAAATTTCCGCCGAGTTTTATTTCACTATAGTACAGCAAACGTTAAACACAAAGTAAAAGCACAAACGGGAGATTATTTTGACAATTAATTTTCGATATCATTCCTCAATATAAAAAATTGTGATATTTCGATATGATTACAAAATTGCTATCGGCAATATCGATATCAAAATAATATCGAATAATTGAGTAATATCGACGGTGCTTACCTTAGTTGCAGTCTCTCACACATTTAAGTGTTGCTGATGGACAGTACTTGTTTGTTTTAGGTTTACTTGATAGGTTCAAGTTTACTTGATTGGTTCAGGTAGTTTATTTAAGGTTTACTAAATAATTTAAATTACAAAGACAAACAACAATATGAAGTCATTTTTTACCCACCTACGCAACACAGCTTGTGCGCTATACAGGTTTATTTTTGGACCTTCCTCCCACCGTCTTCCGTTTGTGTAATTGGGAAATAAATCTATTGATAAGTCAAACCCGCTAATAAAAATGAGGTACATCTAAGGGACTGGCATATTGCATTAAAAAGGATTAGCAATCACCTTAGCAATACTTTTGTGATCATCAATAATTACACACAATTTGTTTTACAGATTGCACTGATTTTTCTCTGTGATGTATTTTTTTCACTCCACCAAAGAACTGTATTGATCAGTTGCTTTAATTCCCACCCCCTCTCCCCCCACCCCCGCTTCAGTATAGTGAGTTGCATAAGAGCAATTCCAAGGTAACTTTCGTTTCATTTTTAGGCTCTTTTATATGCACTAAAGAGTCTCGCTACTTAATTTTTATAACTGTCCGAATTTGTTTAAAATTTGAACACTGTAACATCTATCTGTTTGAACATATGAACACAAACTGGGAAAGCTTCTTTTTGGGGGGCGGGGAGGGGGTGGCAACAGTTAAAACTTTGGTAAATTTTGTAAGATGAAAAGGACATGCATATTTTTTTGGAGGTCTTGATTCAAAAGTCTCCTCATACTGGACATGCATTGATAAAAGTAATGTATAGCATTTATTTGCTGGTGAAGTGAAGACACTCATTTGAAATTAGCTTGAAAATGTTTGATGTGTTCAGACCTTAATAGAGAGACCAAGCATTTTATAATTATCGGCATTTTGTGCCAAGTTGAATCAATCAAGTGACTGTTTTCAACAGTTACGAGCTCCCAGCCTACATAAAGCAGGATTGACTGGCTGTGACTGTTTATGTAACCTGATACAGTTATGCTTTGACTGTAGGTGATTGATAAGCCAGCTGTGCCTACTTCCTGCCTGCTTTTGTCTGTTGACTGAATTTGACTAGTCAGAGTGCTTGCTTTATCTGATATGATCTGACTGTTATTAACTAGCCTGTGTAAAAAGCATGGCAGGGGAAGAGTATTGATTTTTTTGACTGTCTGTGACTGTTCAAATAGCAATAGGGGTAATGGGTCCTGAATAAGCACTTTTTCCTCTGAATGGTCATTGAAAACTTCTCAGTTAACGGCACATCTGTTCAAAAAGTTTACAGTTGCAAGAATGGTACGCCCAAGTTTGGTATGTATATCTCTTCAGGCAATCAGAAGAGATCCACCATTTCAGATAAGAAAAAATGGATTGTGTTACCATCTTACTAAAAAGGAAAGGGTTTGGTGAAGAGTATATACTTTGTTTACTGAGAGTGCATTGTCATTTCTCTGGAGACAGAATTCTGTGGACTTGCTCGTCTTATAGCCTCATAACTCTGTATTTATGAACCCGTAAAACTCTAGTCAGGTTGGTCATTACTTACACATTGGAACGCCTCCGCTTTGTGCGCAGTTGACGCCTTCCGCTAAATAGAGCGTCACACGTTGTGTTGAAACTGTCGCTGTAATTTGTGAGTGCACACATAAAGCCCATATTAAACAAACTGAGAGGAGGCCCCATTGTCTCCTGGCGGTGTCGCAGACGTAATAAATTCAGAGACGCGGAGATGCTCTCGCATCTCTTTGGGGAACCCGCCCACGTCCCAAGCAAATAGGGAGTTAGATGCCATCGGTCACAGAGAATTGGTTTTTGCGGTAAATAATTGCTCTTCCCTCCTAATTGTGTTTGCGCTTGTGCCGTTATCTCAAGGATGTAGAACTTCTCCCGATCCCTGCACTTTGAAAGTGCTGTCTTGAATCCAGAGAGAGAGAACCGATACAAAAACCAAAGAGTGTCTATTGATTCTAGGGTATTGGTGGACAAACACAATCGGTTGATGACGACGATGCTGATGTCATAGTCTGACTTGTACGGTATTCATGAGGATTTGATCGGGAGCTTACATACACGCTTCAAGATTTCATAAGACCCTGTCTTAATGTAACATCTTCTGCTGTACTTTATTGGTGGTGTAATCTTCATGTGAAAATTGGAATTTTGTGTGCTTTCTTCCTTGACAAAAATACTCACTTTATTTTAATAATGGGTGTCAGAGAACATTTTGTGGTTGTAAAGCAACAAACCATTGGATTTGATGATAGGCATTCAGAAAGATTCTCATTTTTTTCTTTCAATACGTACTTTACTAGTTTTTCCGTAGGTTTTCATGTTTAGGTTTAACTGCATTGGTCCAACTGTCCGTGTGTACTTCTTGTTTCTGTTCTGTGGTAGTCCATCCAAGGCATCTCGCCACAAGCCTAGGCTTCTAGAAGATGCCTCCATCCCTATATTTTCCCTTCTTACACCTTTACGACAATTCCATTTACTTATTCATGTGTTCTCTGCTTATATTTTGCATTTGGTATGGAAATAAATGTGAGGTTGATTTAAATGGAATTGAATTTGAAATGAATTTGAAGTCAGAAGAATAGACCTTTGAATCTGCAGACAATTTCTCATTCCATTGAATCGGCCAAAACTTCTAAGACTGTTTCTGAATTGAATCTATTTGCCCTGCCTTTGCCTTACATATAGAGGCAGTTATACTGCCCTCATGTGGTAGTACTGTTTGCAACTTTTCCACAGTATGGGTGCATTCGAGTAGCTCACCCGGATTGACTCGGGTTAGCCCTGTGCCAGTCGAGTAACTCTGACGTCATTCTCGGGGCTCACCCTGATCAGCCACCCCAGACCCTGCTCATGGAGCAGAGTCACCGGTGGAAATACATCACAAGAAGCAGACAAATATGGCGGTCGGATAGCGGAAATCTCAAGTGGACTTAAAAATTAACTTTATTTGAAGACTAAGTGTAACCATTTATTGAGTTCATTGCGACTGTTGAGGCTGTAGTTCCAGCCCAAGTTTTTTTAGTTTTGCAATTGACTGAAAAGCAGTAAATCTCAAACTAAGACCCAGTCCGAAACGGACGTTTTGTCAGTGGCTAAGGCCGTTGCTACGGACATGACGTGAGGATCGTGATTGCCCACGGTTGAGCGTTTGATTAGCCCGGCTGCATGGCTAACCCGTCTGCCTTAAACCGAGTCAATCTGGGTGAGCTACGTGAACGCACCCTATGTGAGCTTCACTTCAAAACTCAGTGGTTGTTTCTGCATAATGTCCACATTACCATGTGCTAGCCAAGTTTACAGTACATGCATTCTTCCTGTTCAAAAGTCATGACAATGCAAAACATTACAAAACAGCAAATTGTAACTGATAAGTCATTAAACTTTCCATCAATGTGTATCTAGCCATCACGAATTAATTTCTCCTTCTTATCACTTGACTGACATTTACTACATGTTTACATTCGGGTATCATTTACCTTCCCTCACACATTACGGTGGCTTTACTTCCAACCCCCAGACCAATGTCTTGTTAATTGAAGTCTTTGCCGGCTTTTTTACGGAGCTGACCTAAATGTCAGATTAGTACACTGTGACGTATTCACCGCCTATATTGTGACAGGTAATTAACCTCCTTGGTAAATGTCAAAGATAATGACGCACATTTCATAACGCGTGCTCACTAACCCATCTCCTAGATTATGTGTTTGTTTGTGTGGGGAGGTAGCCGTCTTGGTGTAATTAAGTTTCATCATTATTGGGCAGTGTTAACACTTAGTCTTGATTAAACTCCTGGTGTTTTTCCCCCCTCAAAAACAGGTTCTTGAAATACTCACTGGATTGAGTCCGGTGATTAAAGCGTCAGTCTCGTGCCTTCTTTGATTAACTAGACTGGTGGTGAAGGGCTTTTTCACACATCTGACCTTTACAAGCAATATCAAATGTAGAGCCCGAATATACCGAATATTCGATTATTCGATCATCAACCAAACATTCCAATAGCTTTTAACCGCTTTAAAGATTCGAAGAAAAAAAATTTACGCTCATACTCACACCACTGTTACTTTATCATTGTGGCGTTTTATTGTCAGGTGCCACTTTTTTGTCCGGAAACTTTTTGTCGACGGCGTTGTTGTTTCTATCCTTTTAGCAGTTTAAAGTCCTTGACAGATAATTATATAATACAGCCGACCATCGTTGGAAATTGATACAAAAATTCAACTTTTTTTGAAAATAACAGCACACCAGGTGCCATGATTTCACAGGATGCTTGAGTCTATGATTCACTTTAATACAGAAGGTATTTCATAATAATTACAGGTAGTTTTGTTTTTTGATGATTGCAAGTTGTATATTGGCTTCAAGTGACATGTTGGACAATAAGGGACGACTGCCCAACATGGACGAAATTGAAGATGCTTACAGATTTGGACTGGGTTAGAATCTTAGATTGCTAATCTTTTTATTCCTTCTTTTTTTTGGGTCTTATTTCAGCTCGGATTGGCCGTTTCAAACTTCAGGCAGAGAAAGTGAAATTCATGCTGAATAACACCCCATCCAAGAAAAAGGGCTCCTCTCAACTCTTCCGATCATTTCTGGACAAAGGTAATTTCTAAAAAGAAAAGAAAAAAGAAGAAGTTGGTATTGCTGTGGGGGGGGGGGGGGGGGTTTACCATCCCCCCTCTTGTTACTCTTAAGAAAATTCTTTATTTAGTACACAATTGCATCCAAAGGATATTATGGCAAATGAGTACTTTTTACATCAGACATTACTGATATACAAGCCTTAATTTCCCAATAGAGGGCGCTATTCATTGTAAGGGGATGATCATGACTTGGGCAAAGTGGTGCATTTCTCTGATGTTGGGTATTTTTTATTTGATTGAACTTGAAGCATTTTCAATTATTGGGAGACCATCTACTCCATAAATAGAATAAAGAGTTCTTTGCTCTTAAATTGTTCCAATATTGTACTGATTAAACCATATTATAGCTGCTACTTTGAGTTGGTTTCATGGGAATTATGTACTGGTGCAACATCCAATTTTTACACTGTTAACTTTTTCGTCACTTCCGTACAGGTATCATCTCCTACACTGAATACCTGTTCCTGTTGTGCATACTGACAAGTAAGTATGATTCCCGGGGGCAGTGAAACAAACAAACAAACAAACAAACAAACTGACGTATTTCTGTTTATTGGGACTGTAAAGAGAAGTGGTTCTGGGAAAAACCAAAGATGATAACTCAGTTAACTCACAACGTAGTAAACTTAGTTGAGTTAACTAAAGTTGAGTTAACTTAGTTGAGTTAACGTAGTTGAGTTAACGTAGTTGAGTTAACGTAGTTGAGTTAACTTAGTTGAGTTAACTTAGTTGAGTTAACTTAGTTGAGTTAACGTAGTTGAGTTAACGTAGTTGAGTTACCTTAGTAGAGTTAACAGTTGAGTTAACTTAGTGAAATTAACTTGCGTGGATATGATTAAACACCTCTGCTTCTTTCCAGAACCACTTCTTATTTCAGATCCAGTTACTTCACAAGGTGTATCCACCATATAGTAAAGTCTGTCACAAGCCAATATGGCCCATCAGGCTGGCATTTATTTCAGGTTTTCATGGCAATGAGACAACCGAGAATATTCCTATGCCCCCTGGCCAGGATGCCTGTCCATCCAAGGTTACTGCCCAGCTAATGCCGGTACTCCTGGGTGGAGAGAGGCAAGTCTGGGTGAAGTGGCAAGTCTGGGTAAAGTGGCTTGCCCAAGGACACAACAAATGACCAGCGGGTGGATAGGAACCACTAATAATGAGTCATGAACCCTAACCACTAGGCCACAAGCCACCATATAAAGCCTCAAATATCATTTAAGTATCCACAATGAAATGCATTGTGTTAGCACCTCCAACTTTAGTTATTGCCGTTTAGATTTGTTGTATATGATGATGTCATGTATAATGATGACCCTGCTTAAATTCATCTTTTTGTTTTTTTTCTCAGAACCCAAGGCAGGATATGAGGTGGCATTCAAGATGTTTGATCGGGATGGAAACAACAAAATAGACCGCCGAGAATTTCTTCTGGTAACATTCTGAACTTAAATTTAGCTCTCCGTTTTCTTGCCTCTTTGTGTTACTGGCTCATCAGTCAAATATATGTGAATAAATTCCAAAACTTCAAGCGCTGGAGAAAGGCATTATATCTTTTGGCATCTTTTTTATGACAGAAAAATATGCTGGCAAAAAAATTCTGGCAAATGTTTGGGCTGAAATAGCTGTAAAATTGAGGGCTCTGCCTGAACTGACATCACACTTTTGCTCATGAATAATGATTCACATTGGCCATAAAAACCAAAAAAGCACCAAAATGCCCCTAAAAATAGCAAGCTGAAAATTGAAAATAAGGTTAAATGGGACACAAAGGTGCATTTACAAGGGCTGCATTAAAAAAAATTACATTACGTGGGCCATTTAAACCACGCATTAGAAGATCGGTTGAGAATATGATCAGTGATGTGTTAAATATCTTCAGTTGATCAGGCTGGTTTATGGAGGAAAATGTTCCCATTTCTTGATTTTTTTCCTTTTTTTCTGCAGATGGAGGAGATATTCCGCAAAAAGACAGAGAGTGAAAAGGGCAACGATTTTGTGAGTTTACTAACCAAATCCCGCGAACCACTTGAATCCGTATGTATTGTGCTCCTCTTTTGCAGTGTGCACACGGCAGGCCTCTGTGTTTTGACTGCTAGACTCATGCATTGTTAGCGTGATGGTTTGTTTCATATTTTTAAAGGAAAGTTGTATTTTTCTTGCTGATATCCTCTAACTTTTAAACATTTTTAATAAAAATATGCTTATTGGACTTTAACTACAAGCTGTTATCTCAAAAAAAAAATTGATAAGTTTATTGTGCACTACTTTTTTATGCATGAACTGCTTGCATGAAAAGAAATGGTTACACTATGACAGCACATTCAGCAGGTGTATGGCCTTTTATTAAGCAGCAGTATTTCTTAAGTTTTGTTCCGCACAATATATATCTTTCTTGTGGGGTTTTTCTGTTTGGTTAACACTTTCATTTCTGACACTGATATCAAACTAACATATTGTCTTTGTTATTGAATCTCACAGAGTTGAACTGCGCACTGACAATATTGTGTTGCCCTTTTGTGAAGCGTTTTGGGAGCTTTTGCTATCTTGTTTTTACAACTTCTTTTTCCGCAACGTTGGAGTGTGCGATGCTTTTTGTGCGTCTGTAACAGTCAGTGAACACCAGGCTTTGTGTGTGCCACTTTTTGTTTGTTTGGATGAATATAAATTGCTGTTTGGTAAGGCTGTCCTGAGTGTACCGAATATTCGAATATTCGATCACCAACGGAATATTAGAATAGCTTTTTGCCACTATAAAAAGTCAAAAACAAACAAACTACGCTCATACACTCAAGACTGAAATGTTATTTTATCATAAAGTTGCGGCGCTTTATTGTCAGGTGCCGTTTTTTTTGTCGACGGTAACTTTTTTGTCAACAGCGGCTCATTGTTCCCATCCTTTTAGCAGGTTAAAGCCCTTGACAGATAAAATACTTACAGCAAAACACTCCAGCGCCCTCTATCGATCGCCGCACGCCCCTTTTAACAAGCGCGCTCTGCATGCAACTTCTGACTAGCACGGCATGCAAGTTGCAGCTGGCAGTTTCGAATATCCGAATATTCGGTCAGACACAGTCTCGGGTAATCGAATACTAAATTATTCGAAAATGGACAGCCCTACTGTTTTGTTGTAAGCTGGAATGGTTGTATCTGAACAATTCTCATATCATCAGATATGAATTCTTGTATCTGCTCACTGGTTCAAACATGCTAAAGGCCTTTTCACACTGTCCAAAATCTCCGGGTTGGAACCGGTTCCAACCCCGAGATTTTTTTCAACCCTTTTCCCACTTCTAAAATTTCAACCCGGTTCCGACCCGGGTAGAGTGCTCTAGCCGGATCGAAATCAACCCTGGGAGGGACCAGGGTTGAAAATCTCAACCCGGATCGAAATTGCATTTTTCGGCGTGAACCGTGTCGAAAATGATAGTGTGAACCGCCCCGGGTTGAGTCACTCACGGCCGATCCGTGTTGAGTTGAGGCCAACATTTTACCGAAAATCTGACACGCCGTGCATAATATTTCCCTCCACCACTATCGCCGTCACAAACACCGATCCCGAAACAATCGCTCCCTAATTATCATCCAATAATGTATCGGTGTATGGAGCATCCTTTACCGAGTCTGGGCTTGTATTAGGTCCGCAAAATGTACCCCAAAAATGTACATTTCTAATGTTAAATAGAATGAATCGTCTAACGAAATGACCGGAGCCATTTTGGAAATATTGCACACAGCTGGGCTGGTGTCGTACAAAAATTGGACTCCCAAATTGGATTCGTTTACTCTCTTATTATTGGTCAAACCCTTTCACGTGACAGGTCCTTCTCCTAATAGGCATGCGCAATACTACCAATGAGTCCGTATTTCACAGAGTAGTAAATTCACGCTGCACACCGGCCTGTCCGTAAGCCTCGTGCGCGCAGCAGCCGCGTGCGTCGCAATGCATTATGGGATTGAGAAAATCATCGCAGCGCCCTGTGCCGAATGCGATCCGTGTCGAGAATTTGTAGTGTGAATTCACAGGGGCCGTAGCCGGATTGAAAAAGTTACACGGTTCACGTAGCGGCCGTTCCCGTAAAGGACAGTGTGAACGTCGCGTCTCTCCGATCCGTGTCGAAAAATACTCGGGCTGAACTGGGTTGGATCCGGGTAGGTTTCAACACGGTTCGAAACGGAGATAGTGTGAAAAGGCCTTAAGTGAAGTTACTGTATGCACTATAGAAAGACATTTTCAAAGCTTCAATTTTTTTGGAGCAAATACATTGCACCGCTTTACAGTTTTTTGTTGGCAAATTTTGTTATGCATTTGCTAAGAAAAATTCACTGTCAAGCATTGCTATTTCACTGATTTTTTTATCTTTGGTATGAAATTGTTGTGATACAACCATTTGTTTTGGATTTTTTTTTTATGTCGTTCAGTCATTTTCAGGCATATTTCTTTGCTTCATGAACTGAAGTAGTCATCAAAAGATAAAAAGTGTGCTTTCATTTTTGTCAAGATACTTACCTCTTAGATTTGACGCTTGCATTTTTTTTTGGACTGTATTTTGCTCTTGCCGTGCATCTTTCACCTCTTTTTGTAGTTTTTAAATGATTATTGGAATTCCACCAGGATCCTAATGCAGACACGCATCAAAGTTGTCTGTCAAGTTCCCATCGTGTGTTGATCACTACAGGCTGTGCACAAGCCAACTTTCACTTGTGTTTCTTTTTTCCTTCAACATTTTCAGTTTTCATGTTATGTCATTACCTTTTCTGGTCCTTTCATTCTCATAGACCTGAATTTCTTTAGCTCACGAACTGTTGAAACCGGTTCCCTTTCTAACACAGCCAGCCCAACATCCTTACTAATGCAGTGCACTCATTTACACAAATGAATGAAGTTGGGTCTTTTTTTTCTGCTATTTAGTAGCAGAACATCAAAATAACGGGAGTAGTCAGAGATAGGTGGAGGGGAACACTCCGAAAATCTGCTGTAGTTGTACATGTACTTTTTCCCCTAGATTATAGACTTAGACTTGTAATTCACGTACACCCGTGCGTGCATGCACCTTGTTCATCACGTCCTGTCTCCCGTGAGTTCTGCACAGTCTTAACAGTATAGCGCCCTCTAGCTGTTCTTGCAATTAGAGTCCATATGGTAGATGTGACAGTAGACCTTTTAGAAGTAGAAGTAAAACCAATTAGTACAACAACAGTAGCCATGTCAAGGTGGAATAATATTAATGCACGTTCACAACCTGAAACCATCTATGATTCGTTGCACTTTTGAGTGAGGAAATGAATATATAATTTCAGTTTCCCTGACCTATTATGTCCTTGATGTTGAATGTGCTGGTACTAATCAGTTGATATTTAATGGAAGTGTTATGGAAATGTTCATTCCCAATCATCCATTAGTCAGGATAGCCATTGATTTGCTTACTTACACTTTTTGTCAATCTGCAATTAGAAATGTTCTCCTGCTTACCTATATTGCCTTTCAATTATTTGAATACATTTGTCCTCGACCATATACAAACATTGCCAGTCAGTATCTCAAGAAAAAGGTGTACGTATTAATTTACAGCAGAAAAAAAAATTCACCCATTAATTTCTTTCTTTCCCCCTGGCATTATCGAATCACCAGACTGCCACGACTCCATGCCGTCAAATTTCATGTTTAACCCCAACTATTGCACTTTTCATCTGATAACTGAAAACATTGACTTCCTTTTTTTTCCCTCTCAATTTCCAAACAGCACAACTTTTGTTATTGTATTTGTTCCTGGTTGTTTTTGCAGAGCATTTAACCGACACATCCTAACCCTGTTTTTTTTCTTTCGCCCATGTTCCTTCCCTTTTCCGGGGGGGGCATTTGACTAAACTGGATAAAACTGGTCATAATGTGCATGTAGGTATTCCCTCCGAGATTGCATTATGGTTTTTAACTTGTAATTGTTCATTCTCATTTGCTGCACAATTTGTAGATTTGCATGAATGGGTAGATTCTTCAAAATGTTCAAATTATGGGCGAGAAAGTACACATACCTAAAAATCGGATTTTAAGTTATACACTTATACGGTGCAGTGCTTTTTTTTTTCAAATTTGCTTAAACCTGATATTTAAAAGGAAAACCAAATTATTTTAGGACATTTATCTTCAAAGTTAGCGTTTGCAAAAATGATTTTATGAAAATTTAACATGTAATAGATTTTGGACCCAATTTGACATAAAATGTCAAATTGGGTTTCCATGATCAGCAACGCTGTCCATCCAAAACTGAGGTGTTACTTTCACTGCTGCTGCTTTTATATTTCTCATTCATTCTGCTTGAGCCTCAATTGCTTTTGGTAGTTCCATGCTTTGTAGTTACGCATTGCTAAAAAAAACCTGTGATTTAGCAAAAGAATGGAGTGTAAAAATGTCGCCAAAAAGAAGCTTTACAGTACATGCATTTTATTTGCTGAAGGCGCATGCTCTATTGCATCAGCATACAATGAAAGCTTTTAGATCTCTTTCGATTTTATAAACACAATCATGTGAACAAAAACCCGGTGAAGTTTTGCTTTCAATCCGTGACAAACAATCAATCAAAATTACCATACAATTTTATTGACAACTTCCATTTAATGACAAAGTTCAATCAATGGATTAGTTTTTTAAATTGCAGTTTTTGAAAGACATGAAAATACAGGTTTTTTTCTAGATAACAAAATTTAATCTTGAAAGACTTAATTTTCATTTTTTAGAAAAGACTTCCATATCGTCTGTTGTTTAACATGCTTATAACTTGTCATGCACAGAACTCTTTGAACAAATATTTGTTAGGAAAATTAATTAGTTAAAGCTTCAAAATTTCAATGTCCGAGTGCACTGGAAACAACTGGATTATGTAGCAAATAATAGCTTGCTTTATTTTGTGACACAAAGAACTATCTGGGACTTTTTCTCAATGCCCAAACTTTCCACTGATTATTTTCCAAAGCAGCAATACTAACTCACATCAGTATAAATTCTTCATCCTAACTACAATTAATATCTACCAAACACTGACGTTCACCTTAATAACAACACTTAGTCTTCTTCTGCCTTGCTGTCTAACCTCCATAACAAATATTTCTATAAGTCATTGATTCTCAGTGAACAAAGTCTGTGGCAGATGAATTCACCTTGAAATACCATTGTCACAATATTTACCAGAATTTTCCAACTGCTGTATAGCAAGAAAAATGATTCCTTGGCTAGTTATTAAAACAAAAGTTGTCAAAGGAATTTGACATAATCTGAGAAGGAGAAAGGATTGAAATGCTTACGTTAGTCTAGATGAGTGCCCTAACCCAAGTCTATGGTGATGTGGGGTCAACTTCTCCAGAAATCAAGGGGGTCTTGGGTTCGAACCCCAACTGAGCAAGATGGTGAATTTTTCTCACTAGTCATTGGAAACCAGTGAAAATAGAGGACTGCCTAAAACTATAGTTAGTGAATGGCAGACCCCAAAATAACTTTTACTTTCACATATTTTGTTGTTGATTATAAGGAGTCGCTTTGCAAATAAACTCAAGGGAAATTGATCTATTTTTAAAAAAAAAATTATGTTTATTTCTTTTATTTTATTATTTTTTTTGGTCATCTTGATACTATGATTTAACATCAGCATCTTCTTTTTTTTTTTTGCACTTTGTCATAACCAAGTAGCCCGTGGGTTATTTATTTATTTTTTTTCCTTTTTTTTTCTGGCTTTAATCATTAAACCTCTTTCCTCCGTCGACCTTTCTTCCAAGGGTTCTGGTGAGAGTAGCTCGAGTGGGTCGTCAAGCAAACTGGTATGCATACAAGTCAACATCATTTGATTCCCAAAACCAAGCAAGAGTAGGCCTAATGGACGCCAATTCATCATTCACTAAAACGTAACAAATTGAAAAAAAATCTTTGAAGTAAACGTGATCATCAAAGCTATAATGACATTAAGATGATCGATTGCAAATGGGTGCCCTCCAAACATTAATAATAAATAATGCTTATAAAATGAAAACGCTGCAAATAAAAAAAAAAATTACATACAGATGAATTAGGTCAAGAAATTGATTCTAGATCAAAAAATTGCAGTTGGACCATTTCATGACTTAAGTCTAATCAATCAAACCATTATTGTGCAATATGATAATCCATCCGATGACTTGCTTTAAAGGGCCCATGCAATGTAATTTTTGTTAATGCAATCCTTGAAAATGCACCTTTGTATCCCATTGAACCTTATTTTTCAATTTTCATTTTGCCATTTTCAAAGGTATTTTGGTGCCTATTTGGTTTTTATGCTACTGCTAATTTCCATATTCATGAGCAAAACTGTGATGTCATTTCAGGCAGAAGCCTCAATGTTACAGCTATTTCAGCATCAGAATTTTGGAAGCTTTGCTGTTGAAGATTTTCTTTTCTTTGGGGATTCATTGTTGTGTCAGTACATGGCAGAAAGCCAATGAGCACACCTTTTTTTCACAAATGTTTTCAATGAGCAAATTGTTGGGTTCACAATATTAATTTAAATTCATTGCATGGACCCCTTAAAATACACACACTTAAAAAGTATAATATTCCAAAGACTGCTTTTGGGGAAAGTATCTTGAGTGATTAGGTTTACAGAATGCACAAAACAAACAAAAACCATACATCCTTCGGATGGGACGTTAAGCCGTAGGTCCCGTGTGTTGTGTAATGCACGTTAAAGAACCCAGTAACACTTGTCGCTAAGAGGAGGGGTTTGCCCCGGTGTTTCTGGCAGTGGCAGCAATTATGCGCCTCAGCACCTAGCAAAAAAAGGTGCTACATAATGGGTCTCATAATGTTCATATACTTCATTTACCTGGCTTTGGTTGCATTCTCCCCCAGCGCTTTGTATCCTCTGGCAAAAAGCGGTATATAAATACAGTTATTATTATTATTATTATACATACATGTTTGAGCTCCGCATTTGTCATTGCTAGTGTAATCCTTTCATCCGCTGAGTTTTATTGTAAGGTACATGGAACTTATGACAATTTGCATTAATGTTTCAAATTTCCTTCATGCCTACATGGTTTGCAGTGGCTTTATGCATCAAGTTCTGCAGTCATTTACAGATCCTCCCTGCTAATAAAAATATAATAAATTTTCAAAATCTGTAATGCTTTTCATTATGCTTAAAGGTAATATACAACATTTGCAAATATCAAAAAACAAAACTACCAAATTATTATGAAATACCCTACTTGAATGTAAGTGAATAATAGTCTAAAGCATTCTGTGAAACTATGGAACCCGGTGTGCTGTCATTTGCAAGAAAAGTGGAATTTTTGTATCAATTTCCAACGATGGTCGGCCGACCATCATTGGAGAAAAAAAAAGGCCTTTTTTCAAATACTGCCCTCAGCTTACCAAATTTAGTTACTCCACATTTTGTTTGCAATTGGTTACACATTCGTGTATGGGTGCAAGCCAGCTAGTCTGGTGCCCTGATCTGGCAATTCCCAGACGTCTATAAATTGCTCCGTTTCAACTGAAGTAAGGTCAGGGAACGATCGTGTTTCACAGAGTGTTTTTACTTCTTACGTTGAAAATATAAAATCGCCATCTGTGTAGTCAGCTTTGCCAAAAATATAAATAAAGAATGCCCTTTGTTACACTTTGAGCTGCATTGAAGAAAAGGTATTCAGAAAATAGTTTTTTATTTATTGGATTGGAGCTAGTTATTTATTTATTGACCTGAACAAAAACCCAACACATCTGACTCGGGTTTTACTGACTCGGGTTTTACTGGAGCTTTTTGAAATCCATGACACAATTTCCATAATTCCTTTCTGATTTCTAAAAGATCTGCAGAATATGAATTTGATAAAGAATTGATTCAAGAAATGATCAAATGTAAGCACAATTAGTACAATTTTTGTTTTTTTTCCCCTTGAAACGAAAATGCAGCAGGTTTTTTTGGGAGGTTAAATCTAATTTCCTTCAGCTGGCTAATAATTATGTACTATTACATTGATTGTAGAAGGTAATCTGATGTTCATAACAAACTGCATTCCGTACTCATTCAAAATGCTCCAGTTTCTCTTTGTGCGTATATTATATGCGTAGCAGAATACTCTACTGAACACCTACAAGTGTTAAAGCAAACAATCTTGTCAGGATTATTTTTGTTTAAAATGGTTTCATACTCAAAGAGTGTGCAAGTTTTGTCATAAAAAGAAGGGAAAAACAACCTGTTTCAGTCATTTTTTTTTACATTACTTGACAAATTTATATACCCGATTACAAGAATACATACCCTCCAAATTTGAATTCAGCTACAAACTAGAAAACTAGAAAGCACTCAGAGAGTGCAAACCTCTGCCAAGGCTCAACAATTCCCCGCCGTATCGTCGGTACACCCAAAAGAAACATTCGCATAAATGGTGAAGAATCCTTTAAAACAATCCTGGATCCAGACCCAGATCCGGATCACTTCCAAAATCTAATCGATTTGTACTTGTACCAAGGACCACCCTAACAATGTTCATGCAAATCAGTCCATTACTGTTTGAGTAATCTTGTTAACAGACAAACCAACCAACCAACAAACTAACCAACAAAACATAAACTCCTTGGCGGAGGATTAATAATTAAAGGTTCTTGCAAGTTTTCACAAACAAAACAGAAATCTTTATATTACTCTGACATCACAATGTACAGTTGATACACTTTAAGGCTCAATCGTTGAGATAAGGACATCTTTTCTTTCAAATTTTCAGCATTTTTTTTTATTATTGTGCTGCAAAAACCCTTTCTTAGAGTGGCTAAATGTGCATGTCCATTTTCTTATTCAATTGGTTCAATTGTTACTTTTTCTATTTGCATGCATTTAATTGTTATTTTCAAAGTTATTTTTCATTTAGATAAATCACTGTAGAAGAACACAGTCACAATGCTTCACCTTAGAACACATTTATTCAGTAAAAATAAACAGTAAATGGTGATTCAGTCAACTGTTTTCATTTTGTATATTTTCCTTTCGTGGAAAATGGTTTCTGTTTCCCCAAGTTGTTTGAAGTGGATCGTACCTGATTGAGCCGTCAGAAAGATTAATGATTTTGATTGTTCGTGTCCTCACTCGGAAATTAATCAAATTCCACAAGCAGTGCTTCAATAAATGAAGTTTTAATTTCCTGTCATTGATAGGGTATGTTTGGTTTCTATTCTCCGAAAAGAAAACATTGATATTAAATGTTTAGGCTATCCGATGATTCAACAAGTAGTTCATAAATCATTGTCTTCAAGTAAACTTGAATCCTCGATCCTGATTGGTGTATCCATGGCAACAAGCCGTGCTACATATAACCATGTAGCACGGCCACGGTTCGTACCGCACTCCGCGTATTACGCTTTTCTAAGATGCGATGTGTGCGTGTTCCATCTTAACTGTGCGTCAAGTTTGCTTGAAGATAAATTCGTTATCGCGCTCGTGGAACACGGAAAATGTAGTGCGTCTGTGTCCCACATACAAACACACTACATTATTCCGTGTTCCACTCACGCTTGCGGGATAACTTATATTACCCCCATTTCAGTTTAGCTAAAGCATGGTCCTCATAGCTTAAGATACCTTTTAATGTCTGATGTCAATTTTCTAGAACTATTGCAATTTGTTATTGATAAGTACATTAGTTCTTTGGTATGCTGACATACTTTCCATCACATGAACTTACTATGTCTAGGATCTCCAGGTTCAGGAGACAACATTGCTGCGATATTTCTTTGGTGCCAAGGGTACGGACACACTGAATTACGCAACATTCTGCACGTAAGTAACTCCTGGCCCACTACGACCATCTTCAACTAGGATAACCAGTGCAGTGGCTCATATATCTTGCATCGAAGAAGAAAAAATGGGATAACTTTAGCTGCAAACTAAATTTTTAAAATTGTGTTTCCGTGAACAAATATGAATTGTACCATTTCAGCTATTTTCTTTTGATATAAAGGGTATTTTTTTTGTTATTGCTTGAAGCTAGTCATTGGCAGATTTTAAAGGAATATCCGTCCCTGAAAAAAAAATAACGATGCTTTTGGTTTGTTTACTTATTATTAAGATATTAGGAGTAGAACACCTCAACTTGTTGTGTTGTGTCATTGACCATTGGGTGGCTACTTACATTAGATTTACATAAACGAGTTGTATTAAAGAATGTGTTATCTAGACGTCACTTCTTTGGTTGTGTACAAAGTCTACGGAGAGTCGAGTGCATTTTTAAAGTATTTTCTAACAAAATTGGAAATGTTTCTCAGTCCCAGATTCATGTCTTTTCAATTTTTTTTTCAATGAATGACCTTCAATGAGATAAGATATGATGAAGAAAATGGCGTGAGGATGCAACATTCTTTCTGGATTTTTTTAGACAGAATATTGAATGGTTCTGTCCTCCGTGGTTGTACCCTTGGCTCAATTGATAAACCCTGTTTGTTTCTTGATCTGAACAGGTTCATGGACAACTTACAGGCAGAGGTTCTGGAACTTGAGATATCCTTTTCTATATCAGTGTGGTAGAAAAACATTTTTGCTATCAAATTTAGAGCCAATTGTATACCAAATTTATCTATGAACTGATGGATATTGCATTTTTAGTTTGGACAAAAAAGTGACAGTTCACCTCAGAACGGACATACAGCATTTTCAAAATGACTGGCTTTTGCTTCGTCTTCAGCTTGTGGAGATTTTAGGCCCCCGACTTCTGGAACTCCAGCTACATTTTGGTGCCTGTTACGCTTCAGAAACTTTTAATCACTTGATATGAAGCCAAAAGTTGGAACGTTTTGTTTATTTACCTCTCAGTGATTCAGAAGTCGGAGGCAAACCCGAAGACGAAGCGAAGGTTTCGAAAAACTCAGCAGTCAAAGAAATACTAACTTTAAAGGAAACTGTTAACCTGATTAATTGTAAATCAGCAGTTCTAAAACAACTTAGTCTCTGCTATATAATGACATTAAGAAGCAATATAAGATGTTTATTATTCGTCTGTTGTATAATTTTTATTTAACTTTGTGTAAATGCAAATAGAATAAGAATTGTCCTTGACTTGATTATCACTTCTATGAGTTCTCGAAGGGAATGCCCACCATCTCGGAGTCGGAGTTCGCCCACATCCTGCTGCGGTACACCAACATGGATGAAGACAAGATGAAGGAGTTTATACACACTGTGAGGAAGAGGATGCCCGAGGAAAAGGCAAGACAATACTCCCTTCTCAAGAGGGTGAAATAAGACACAAAACTGCTCAGGGAAATTTCTTTTTAATAATAATCCTTTTTTTTGATCTGTCAATCGCATTAAGAAACCACATAGAATTTTTTTTGTTCGGAAAAATTGGCAAAATTGTCAGTGTATGTCTGATGTCTGATAGATTTCACCCTCTTTCTTTTATCCGGAAATTCTTTTAACCAGTTCACGCTGGGATTATTTTGACAAGAACGGATTGAGGCGGAGAATTACTTTTCACTCGACCTCAATGCCAGGCGGGTTGAAGCCATCACCCTCGGGCAGCACACTCACATTTCAGGCCTCGCTCGCTGCGAGCGGGTCGCTGACAGATATCCCTGTGTGTTTATCCGTCATCCCTTCCGCAAAATACCGCAAAACCTTCAAGGGTATACATGTCATCCGGCGCGAACTGGTTCATGAATAATTAACTGAGTTATAAATTGGTCAATCACAGGTCAATCAACAATTGGCCATGAGTAGCAAGGGATGTACAGTGACACAAAAGTGCCATTTGTCACAGGTCGTCTGAACACCTTGTGAATGAATTGACTTGAGACCTGAGGACCTATGATTGCCATGTTGTCAACTTGTGATTACCAGATTTCAATTTTCTCAATTTGTTACGATTTTCACGAAAGGACACACATGCACTATGTGCTTCAGTTCGTGAAAACCGCGTAATCCAACAATTTCATGAGTTTCATGAACTAACACGCGGGTGTGTGCGCGCACTTCGTACTCTGATGTTTTCACGAACTGAAACGCAATCATGTGGCGGAAAACCAATTCGGAGAAAAAAACAACACAAATTTACTCCATCCATATACCTAAGGGGTTACAGAAACATTTAATTAAAAACCTTTCAACCGGTGAAATTAAGACAAGATTCAGTTCATGAAAACGAAAATGTAGGGAGTGTACGTGCGCATGTAGTGCTTGGGTGTCGGTGCGTAAAAACCATAATTACACGGTTCTGTAAAGTATGTGCGCGTGCCGGGCACTCGCGCATCACCGAGTGTCAGTTCGTGGTATCGGTGACAAATTCATGTTCATCATTAACATCATTTTAATAATAACATCTCTTCAAAGAATACTCATCTTTAAAAAAAAAATTAAGCGATCTTGTGTTTTTTGTGGGATATACATGTATGTATGGCTCATTAGTGGATTGATTTCAAATTTACAAACTCATCATATATAAAGTAAACAAGTGTAGTATGTACATGCGCAAGAATTACGAGTACAGCTCAAATTGGTTGTGGCATTGTAGCTTGTTTATAATAATCATTCATGAAGATCAATCATTTCTATTACTTGTCATTGCCAAAGGTTCAGCCTCATTGCTCATAGTTTTACCCATCAAGCCAACCAGTACACGTGGCAATTCTTTTCCCTGCGATACTTGTCTACCATATAACAGTACCGAAAAAGCTGTAAATGAGAGATTTACATGATTAGGCACCCACAAAATCTGAGGCTTAAGTTCTGACGGATATCATAAATTTACCTAATGATTTTTGTCTCAATACACGATCAGGTTGATAATCATTGTAGTGGGACTAATCAAGTGGGCTGGCGCCAGCTCATAATATTTGAGTGTCCCACATAACAGTGCTGCAGTAAATTCAGTGGGCAGTTTCCTTGAAATCGTCGCTGAAACTTGATACAAACAGTTTGATGGATACACGGTCTTGTTTATCCATTCAAAATGCTTCATGCAGACAAGACTTGGAAAATAAAAACTCATTAGTGTTGCTGATGGGGATCATTTGGCCAGTCCAGTTCAGGCTGGCTATGGTCAGTCCACACTGGAGGCAGTGATTGAAAAAAGAAAATCTGTGGAGTATTTTTATTTCTCCAGGGCCACAATTTGCCTAGTTTGAAGCATTATTAAAGAGTACGGCAGATATAGGATTGTGCCTTTGATGATACAAGCATGGCATTTGGCACACAGTCAGAGTATGTCATGAGAAAGATATTTGGCTATAGGGCCGTCGCAGATTTATCATTAAAACAAATATAGGTAACATAACAAGCAATGGCAGCCATGTCGATATTTTTGAAAATTACTTGTTATTCTACCTATATTTTTTTCAAAGGACAAATCTTTATGGATACGTACTGTGTGGCCAAATGCCATGCTTGTATTATAAAAGGCACAATTCCCCCAAATGTTTCCCCTATCTGCCCCACTGTAATTAAGACTGTTTGTCTCAAAAGTAACAGGAAATGCATTTTGGGGTGGCCTAGTTGAACTCTGACTTTGGTTGAGACAGATAGTTTGAGTTGGCAAGTATGTGAATTACATGTGTCAGGCACAAGTCTGTTTGGTCTCTACAGTTATAAAAGTACTTTTTTTTCCTTAGATATACTTGCTTCATTATATCCATTATGATTTGTGTCCTGCCATCAAGACATAACCGTAAACATATGACACACGACGTATATACAAATTGAGGATTCAGTGCTTCTGGAATGTTATAGGATAAGTCCAAGAAAAGTTCCCTTTTTTTGTCCCATACTTAACGCCATGTTTTCTTTAATTACATAATCATCGCAAAGACTAATAACGTAACAAGTCTCGTGGTGAGGTATAAAAACATGCGGCATTGCGTTGCGAATGGGATTTCGGTTCCGACCGCTAGATGATGATAATGATCCTTGATTTGTTCCGTACATATCAGCATTAGGGAGTTACCTTACTCTGTAAGGTTCCCGAGAGGCTCATTTTATTTAACAGTAACTTTTTTGGGATAGCATCATTTACAGTACTGAAGTAAAGTTCTTCATATTTCATTTGTTTTCTTCACACGTTAGCGTTACAGAACCATCTCACTGCAGAAGACGCCCAGGTTCATTTAAGTTACTTTTTGCAGCATCCTTTGCAGTACTGCAGTACTTGCAAGTAGAGTTCCCAGGCCGCTTCCTGGAAGGCTTGATTGCGTATGTAATACACGATCACGTTTAGCCAGCTGACCGACGCCAGTGGTATCTGCGTGGCGATGATGAACGGCACTGACGGTTTCTCCACATTGGAAAAGCCCAAGATGACCGACGGTAACCACCCGATGACGAGGGTCGTCGTTATGATGAAGACAGTCGTGAAGGACTTTCTGTTGGGAGAGCCTGGCGATGGTAGCTCATTTGCGCTGGCCATGCTGGTAACGCTGGGACGGTGTTTAGCCATGTGGGCCGCGTGCCGCTGCGCGATCACCAGAATCTTAACATACATGACGGCGATGACTAGGAACGCCCCCACCCCCATCACGGTCAGTGTCACCACCGCTTTGCCGTTGTTGAACTTCCCAATGGTGCAGATGAGGTAGTAGGAACTGAAACACTGCGTCCAGTGTTCCAAGATGGAGGTGAGAAGTCCGTAGAGGTTTGCTACGATCCAGACACCGCAGGCGATGATTCGGGCCCTTCTGACCGACATCCATACCTCGTACTGCATAGGATGCACAATGGCAATGTATCGGTCAATGGTGACTAGCAACACCGACACGCCGCTCATGGGTAGCGCCGTCCTAATCACCCAGGCCTGGATGTAGCAACAGACGCCTCCAAACGGCCACATCCTACCATTGAGGAACACTCCAACCGTCGGCATGTAGAAACACAGTCCCAGGATCAGATCGCCGATAGTCATGGACTTCAAGAAGACGATAGTGGCCTTACTGAAACCCTTCACTTTGTGCAGCAGGATCAGACACATGGAGTTGAGAAATAGGATGAGTAAGGTTGTCAGAGTCCATATGCAGACACTGGCAAGGTCCATCCAGAAATCATGAGTTAATACCTCTGTAGTGAAATTGCCAGGGCTGGTTGCGTTCAGCTCAGTGCCACACGTGTTGCCATCCATTGTGATATCGCTCGAAGTGTTGCAACACGGTTTAGTCCAGTGTTAGTATCCTCTTTTTTATTCGCTAGGGATGGTTTGCCAGTTTCTTTTCGTCCAGTGAATCATTCATCATGATGATCACTCCTTTTAGCATGAGTCAGCTGTTGATTTATCACACATTGATAAGATCTGCCGTAGAGAAAGGATACACCATAGTGGCCACGCAACCTGCCTGCATGTACTTGCCCACAGTCACTTGTTGCCGATGTCTGGTACAATCACTCTTCACCAATCTCACTGATTACAGCAGGTTCAGGTTGGATTATACAACGTGACGGCACAGCACAGGCGGCAAGTTCTTAATGAGAAACTTCCATATTCCTCCTACAACTATGAATACGCCAAAAAAACAATTCGCAGAAATCGGCTAGTGAATTGAGCAATTACATGTAGTACAGTGATCCACCCACAGCAAAAGTTGTTGCCGATCTCACTTGCCCTTGCATGTGGTTGGCTCAGGAAATAGTGCATAGGATGTCCAGCTATATGAGGAAGTATGCACAATACGTTGTGTGCAAGTGTGGCATTGAAATTGTTGGTGGTGTAAGAACAACCAGTAGGAAGTCACCAAAATATTTTCCAAAATGCCAGTTGCGATAGTTGTGGTGTAGCTAGAGGCTATACGCCGTGAGTTGTCCTGGTATTAAAATAGACATGACAGCAGTACTTAAAAGAAAAGCAATTAGATAAGTGACGTTCTTAAAAGGAAACATGACAGCTAGCAGCAAACATGACAGCAGCAAACATGACAGCAGTTCTTAAAAGAAAAGCGATTAGATAAGTGACGTTCTTAAAAGGAAACATGACAGCTAACAGCAAACATGACAGCAGCAAACATGACAGCAGTTCTTAAAAGCAAAACAATTAGCTAAGTGACGTTGTGACGTGGAAAGATAAAATGCAGCAATTTTACAGCGAAGAACAATAGGTATATACAAAACCAATGAACCAGGAAAGAACTGTTCAGTAAAAACAAACAAACAAACCACCAAACTACATGTACCATGTGCAGTAAAGATCTTCAGATAACTGTTTCTTTGAATGTGGGTTTTGTTGCGTCATGTTTTTTCTTTTGAAGGCCAACTTTGGTGAAACACTGTCATCTTCCATCCTTGAAAGTGCTTGAAAATATAGAAAATGCTACACAGGCATACATGTATGTCAACATGCCTGGCTACACGAGCTGATGGGATGGGAATGTCTGTTTGTTCTATTTGCTGTTTCGAGGGGCTCTCAAGGGTGGTTGGGAGGGGGAGGGGCTAGAGGGCATGTCTCTCCCCCCCCCCCCCCCCCCCCGCGCCACAACAATATCACAGTGCCCCCCCCCTTTTAGGTTCCCTCCCCAAAAAAACCTAAAGTTGGCCCTCGCCCTGGAGTGCCCCCTGGCACCATATGAGCCCCCCCCCCCCATATGAGCCTGTTGGCCCCTTGAACACTTTGGAAAATTTTGTTATGGATCGGCCCTTGGTGTGGCCCCCCCCCCCCCCCCCCATAAAATGCTGGTGCTCACCCTCGGAGCCCCAAACTGATACAAATCATGTAAACATTTGAATTCTCTGTGCCAAAATTAGGAGTTTGCTGTCCAGTGTTTCCGTTCTTTGGTCTGTGTTAGTCATGTTCGTTAATATGTTTGTCGTAAAGTAACTTTTGCCGGAAGTAGCGTTCAGAAATGCCTTCAGTCAACACTTACATTTTTCGGTGGATTCTCTTTCATCCACTCAAAACCTTTCACGGCTGATTTTCAAAACTATTTCCACTCCACTTAAAGTTTCAATGGTCCTAGCTCAAAAGTAGGCAGACTTATGGTTGAGTTATGTAGACGTATGATTGAGTTAAATACACTAAAATAGAAACAACGTTTATGCAATGAATGAGCTGGACCTCAGCCTGTTGAAAGACTCTGACTTGTTTGCGACAAAAAATTCACCATCATCTTTTCCTCCAAAAGATTTGGTTAAAGTGGTCAGAAATAGCCTCAGATCGTACCACAGAGCATCTAGAATCCAATTTTTTTTGGTATGCTGTCACTTTATCAGAAACATCTCATGCTAATCACTAATAGAGAGGACTTGTTTAATCTTAGCAGGTAGAAAAAAAATCTGCTGGTGATATCACATATAATGTTAGAGGTCTTCCACCCCTTTTAGAATTACAGATGTTTAACAGCTGTTTTTGCTTTGTGAAAGCAAATAGAAAGAAGTACATGTTTGGTTTGCGCCGCGTATGGAAATTGATTTCACTTAATCAGTTCATACCTTGGGGTATTTTTTCCTGGAAGTCATCAGCTGTATATGTGACCCTGATTGCTCTACATGTGGGCCATGTCATTGACAGGATTGCACAGGGCATCAAACTAGAGGGTTTTTGTATTGTCCAATGCGGTTGTGAAAAGGAAGGCCCTTCAGTTTCAGATTCAACTTTCCGATCGTCCTTGTCAGCCCACTCGTCAATTGTCATTGACCTCATAAAGTGACGTGCCACTTCAAATCCAGCCTCAGCCAGTGCATACACGTTGATTAATTCTGCACTGGGTCAATAGGCGTTGATTGGTTCTGCAGTAGATTTACTGGAAAGGGATAAATTGAGAATTTTAAGTGCAAACACAGAAAATAAGCAAGAAAAAAAAATTAACCCAGACGTTGGAAGTAATAAAAATCCAAGGTGATGAGAGTGATAGGTTTGGATATCATGTTCTTGATATAGGTCAGGTGTTGTTGATTGGACATGTGGTTTCCTGTTTTCCTGATTTGCTCATGGTCATGGCGTTGTCATTTTCAATGGTCACGCTGAAGTATCAATTGATCTTTTTCATGTGTGTTATCAATTGCGCTTTTCCGCAAGACGTAAACCGATACTTGAGATATGGCAGAGAACGGCAGCCAAATTGTGACTGATAATTCTCCAGTGTGGAAAAAAAATTGAAAAACTGGGATGTAGATCTCTTCAGCAGACCTATTGGGGAAACAGACAAGAGGATTTTCCCTAATAAAGTTCTAGTCCTACACAAGTTTAAAATAAATTTAAAATAAATACAAATTCAGTGTAGCAGGGATCGAAGCAGCAACTGCTGAAACACTGCAACAGTACTTCACCAACTGATGATGTATCCGGTCCGATGATGGCATCTTCCCAACAATGGCTGTTCTTGGTACTACTCAATCAGCATGGCAGCGTTGCATGCCTCATGGCCACTGCGTAAATCGTTAACCAGTCTAGTCAGCGGTCATTGACGATGACAAAATAAGAGGGCAATCACATCTTCAGAAAACTATAAAACAGATAAAACAAATTAGCACAGCCGTATAGAAATGAGGACTAGATAAGGGTCTGTTTTATTTGTCTGGCTGGCTAGTGAAAAAAAAGTTCAGGGCAAACCCTGGGTCTATGTGTGGCCTAACTAGTAAATAGCGGTACACATTTTTGTAGCACCAAGAAACCCATGACTCCTCTATCTCTGCACACTGACCGATGAGAAGGAACAAAGCGTGTCCCAGGTTTCCATGGCAACTGGCAGGAAACTGCTATCGTAATCCCGTACTGTCCAGTCTCTCTTAACACCAGATGACTGAAACGATACTAAACCGAGCAGGGCTAGGATAAACAAGGGAAGCACAAAGTCCTTGGCTACAGTGTGAGGGATGACATGAAAGGGCCCATGTAATGTAATGTTGTTAATGCAGTCCTTGAAAATGCACCTTTGTGTCCCATCCTCCATGGTCCCATTTAAGCTTATTTTCAATTTTTGTTTTGCCATTTTGAAGGATATATTGGTGCCTTTTGGTTTTTATGCTGATGAACATTTTCATATTCATGATCAAAACTTTGATGTCATTCCGGGCAGAAATCTCAATGTAACAGCTATTTCAGCACAAAATGTTGCTAGAATTTTCAATATTTTGCTGTCATATATTTTCTTTTCTTTGGTGATACGTTGTTGTATATCAGTGCATGGCAGCAAGCCAGTCGGCAACCCTTTTTCACAAATGATTTCAATGAGCAGATTGCAGGTTCATAATTTGAACAGAAAATCCCTAAACTGAGCAGTGTCTTCCTCAAATGACATCACAGCCACAGCGTCCTCTTTTCAATACAAATAACCAAAAATGGATGTGCTACATGCAAAATTTCACTAAAACAATGGTCCCGACGTTTGGGTTTCGTTTTTTTACTCACCCTGTATATGTTACAAAGTCATATATTACCACTCTTTTCATTTGATTTAATAATGGTCTACAAATTAACAGTGTGTGTGAGAGATTACCATTTTTTTAAGCTGGAAAGTTACTCTAATGTATTTTGTGTCATTTTTTTAATGGAATTTATAACGAAATGGTCCCAAATTGAGCCGTGATGTCCCTAGGGGTTGCCGCCTTGTCAGTTTCATCATGATTAATCAGATCATTAGATGCCCGCTTCATGCTGGAAAAGACTATAAGGATTATATTCCGTGATGAGCATTAACTTGTCATGAATGATCCGCAGCCTAATAACCCATGTGTCGTGACTGCGCATGTAATCCCAGTTCTTTTTATACCGGTTCATGGAGGGATTGTTTGTAATTTTTCCGTTAACAAGTGCGAGTTGTTGGATGTGGAGTTTTCAACACCCAAGAGGCGCGTATACACGGCTCCAGAGGTGCTGCTGAAGGTGCCATTTCAATATCATGTGCCTAGAGGTTGTTACAATTGCCATGTCTCTCATCACCAAGTATGCTTGAATTAATTAACTCTCGTCTCTGTCTCACATGCGTCAGGAGAAACACAATCTGGATTTGTAATATGGCAGTTTCCACACGTACCGACTGATTATTATAATCTGCCTCGTAGCTATTGAGCGAGTTTGACATTGTGAAACGAAATTAAGGTTTCAAAAGATATATTAGTAATTCTATAAAGTTAGGGTCCAAATCGTGACACATGTTCACGTCCCCTGTTTACTTTGTAATTTGCCATTCAAGTATCATTATGAATGACTTCAAACGATTTGTTTATTTGTTGGGTATGTAGTTTGCTATTCATGATCACTCTTGGAGGACAACTGCATTTAAGGGTGTCAATCGCTTCTCAAAAGGTTTTTTTTTTTGGGGGGGGGGGAGAACATACCTTGATCAGCACTAATGTGAGCGCGAAGCCCTAATGGCGTGGGATCTGGGGCCCGTTAAGGGCCCCACAAATTTTGGATTCTAGACGCTCTGTGGTGCGATCTGAGGCAATTTCTGACCACTAAAACCAGTTGTTTTGAGCAAATGATCATCTTTTAAACATCATTTTCGAGTTGGGAGTAATTTAAACAGCTATTCGAAGCTATAGAATTATTATTAGTAGACTACAATTTATATTCGGGGACGGGTGAAAAAGTGGACCCCAAATGCACAGAGTGACCCATACGCTAATTCATCATAAGACACTGACCAAAAGCTTTCATCAGTGTTGCAATAAGTAAGTTCATTAGATCAGTGAAATTATTCTATCCTGAGTGCTCATCTCGGATGATTCACTTTGTAAAACATCTTGACTCCATTCAGCAAGATGCACCATAATATACTTGGGCATGAGATTATTGAGGACACGTTTCTTTAATGCAGCTCTTTTTTCTTAGCTAGGCAAGTTGTAGTGTAATGGGGGTGAATTGGTCCGCCGCGTCCTTTAAGTGCATTTTAAGTGAAGTATGTAGATCTCCTCTGTCATTGATAGATTTAGATGGTTGGTGAGAATGGAGAATGATGATACGCAAAACTGAACAGAAAATCTGTATTCTGATATTTTTTTCTCTTTCCTGATGTGTTTTCTCAACTCAGCTTTCCTTTTAACTTACATATGAATGGACATAAATGTTGAATTGAAATTGATGTGGAGAACCAAGAAATTTATACCCAATTGCTCTTATCACAACATTGCTCGTATCTTATTGATATCGACGGTGTTTTCACGAAGTGACAAAACCTCCATGTCCTGTAAAAAGGTCATAAGATAAGCGCATTTGAAGTTAATCCTTTTTTTTTCAAAAGACAATTTCGACCACTTTGTAGTAACATATTTGGGAATGTCATTTTTGTTGTTGTATTGTCTAGTAAGGTATACTCTGTTTGCTAATTTAAAGTTGATGTTAAAAGTCTCTCTTAATTAAACAGTAATTCATTAATTAAAACTCTTTTACACTTCTTGAAAACAGCAATAAGCAGAGGCCTTTACTTGTAGTTTGTACACAGTCTTTGTCACTTCCTGAAAACATAAAAACATTGTGAGAAATTGTTACTTTTACGCATCATATGACAGTGGAGCGCGCGCGTCTGTTCTTTTTCAACATCATTCTTGAGCAAACGTCCGCTCCCAACCTGATGCATGTAGAGCAATGCATGATCCCTTTGGCCTTGCTAACGAGGTGACTTTTTGTCGCTTCCAAAACAAAAAACAAAACACCCACGGATTTCAGACTTTTTTTTCGCTTTGAAACTTGGTCAAATTGTTCTTTGTGTCAAATGTAATTAAAAAGCCAGCTAAACTAAAAATCGAAAAATTATCGATTTTCCAGGGTTTTGTCTTTTTGTGAAAACACCGACGATATGCATTACTTCAAAAATGCATCAATTCAAAATATGAAACATGTTTAATCTGTGATTTTTATCGTTCCAACTTGTTTTTTGTTTTTTAAATGCCCCTCATCTGATGCTTTAAAATTAGCAGTTCAGTTGGAAGTTTTTACAAGGTTCCACAACCACCAGTGTAAAAACTTGTTTGTGACACTGAAAGCAGGAAGGAAACTTGGAATATTTATGTCATGTCACACGATACTTTGAATTTTATGTTGTTCCTATTATAAGGTATGAATCATTTTTATGGTCGTAATTTTGAAAAGTGAATCAGCATCCTTTAGTAGTCATGTTGAGGCAAAGGCCAAACACATTGAACTAGAAATAAATCAACAGAGTATTGGTAGATTAAAACCCGTTTCGAAGGTTCTTTTTAAAAAATATAGAGGTCGGTGGAAAGACTTGGCTTTGAACCTCGGTAGTAAAATAATTTAAGCTAAAATGAGAGTTAAGAATTGCCCAGAGACAGTCTACTACCAAAATAATGTATCAAATTCCAAAAAAATTAACAAGGACAAAACAATGTGTGCTTTTTCATAGACTTGGACAATATTATTTACATTTCATAGTCTAGAAAGTCTTTTTCACATCGATTTATATACAAAACCTGATTAACACTTTGATGTTATCACACACCATTTAGTTTTTACACTTGGTAAACTGGCCTGATTTGAAACTCCTTCAAACTGTAACTTATGGTTTGTTGTCAGTAAAGTAATTAGTGCCTATTTAAAAAAAATGAGGCTTCACCTCGCCCTCTACACAGGGGGAGGTGGTTGTCCGCTTCACGGGCGAGAGGCGGCTTTCGGTTCCTGCTTAGGGGTCGAGCAACTTCTGAACACACACACATTCACATACAGTCTCGTTTTTAGGAAGACCTCCCATATGTTTTGTACACAAATCCAAATAGGGGACCTCTCGGGAATTGGTGACCCTATTGTCCTCTTTTGTTCAACGTCCACTATTGAATGCAGAAACAAACTCCCCCTAGGGACCCCCTATTGTCCCTAATCTTCATTCCTTTGTTTGTACCTTAATAACTTTTTAGCAACAGCTCTCATTGGTTTTGTACATGAATTTCAATCGTGGACCCTGTGTTTGTGCCCTAACCCATTTGTCCCTAGTCCACGTTTGCCGGTGTTTACATACTCACATACACACACAGTCGTGAATTTCTATACGCCCGAGGACAATGCTTTGTGTTTCCCTTTCTCCCTGTAATTTAACATTCTCATATAGACTAAGCACATAATTGAACGATCGAGGACCGTTTTCAATAATAGACCCAGCGCTCGAGGTACCATGGGGACCGAAGATGCTGTGGGGACAGCAGAAAGTCCCCATAACTCGGTCCTAATTTGCCTATAACGCGGTGACGGCCTGCCCAAGTATACGCCCTTTCTTCTTCATAGTATAAAGCACTGATGTAACGAAATAAAAAAGGAGTTCCTAATGGAATAAAAGTAATCATAGTACTTTTAAATAGGTGTTTGTAGCGAGCTTTAACATGGAATTTCTGTTGTGCTGTGACAAGATATGCATTATATTTGTTTTAAGTATGGGAGAAGTTTGAGACTGACATTTTTTTTTATAGTTAAATTAACTTTAACTTCAACATTCAAAACAATAATATTAATTGTTATGCCTGAGCTCCTCTACTTGATCTGGAGTGTTCGTAGCTTTGTCCAAAGTTGTTATTGTCTTCGTTCCAAAGTCCGCAACAGTTCCTGGTCGTCCTGCGTAGAAAGGTCTGACCTGCCTCTCTGAAGGCCCGATTGCGCACGTAGTAGATGATAACGTTCAGCCAGCTCACGGACGCTAGTAGTATCTGGGAAGCCACTCTGACCTGAGGGGCGATGTCTTGGGATTTATTCATGAAGCCCATGACCAAAGATGGTAGCCAGCCCAGAAAGAGCGTCATGGTGACGATGAAGATGGTGGTGAAGGATTTCCGGTTCATGGGCGGTGGTGATTGTAACTCACCATTGATGGTGACTAGCGGATGCTGGGACGCGATCAGTGCAGCCTGGCTCCGAGCGATGATGAGTATCCGTATGTACATTAAGATGATGATCAGTACTATTGCCATGCTTAGTATGGTCTGTAAAAAAGCTGCGAACTCGTTTTCGGGTTCATCGTATGTACACACAAACAGGTAGGGATTGTAACTGCTCTTCCAGTTGGCCTTGATGGACGACACCAATGCGTAAATGTTCGTCAGAATCCAGACTATGAATACCGTTACTTTGGCTCGTCGTCGGGTTAGCAGGTTTTTATACTTCAGTGGGTAGACAACGGCAATGTATCTATCGATAGTGACTAGGAGCAGGGACAGGCTGTAGGCCGGAAGGCCCTGCCTGATCATCCATGCTTGAACAAAACATAGCCCACCAAAGGGCCATTTCCTTCCTGCGAACGAGACACCGATCATGGGTAGATAGAAGAACAGGCCCAGCACCAGATCCCCAACGGTCATGGACTTCAGGAAGATTTTGGTGGCGTCGTGAAACTCCTTCACCCGGGACAAAATGATGAGGCACAGTATGTTGAGCAGCAGAATGAGCAGCACAGTAATGATCCACGCACAGGCGCTGATGATGTTAAACACATGATCCTCCTCCTCCTGGGTTGAGTTTGTTGGTTCCACTGTCGTGCAGTTCATCTTGACAGTCGAATTGGGAAAGCCCCCATCCATGGTCACATCCAAAAATCCTGTGGTCATGAATCTGTGCTTTCCCAGCTGCTATACACCCGTATTGAATGTAGTCCGCCTGATGTAATTGCACTCAGTGCATTATCAGCTTCCTTGTTAAATGTGCCAGTTAATCATGCCGCGGTATCAGCCAGACTGCATAATTAGATCACTAGCCCACACAGCTCCATCCTGATTCGATGCTTGATCATCCACTGGTGTGTTGTCCACTGAAATGGTCCGCTATTTGATCAGATATGATCCTCCTATTGTGTTTCCTTCACAACTGGCAGTAAATCCTCTTCCCACGTGACACCTAGCTGCATCCTGCCTGTACACCTACAGCGATGATAAGCTCATCATCAACTTCTGGAGAATTTTTTTTTGTTTGCAGTGTCAGTCTGTACACAACGGCCACAGTGTTTGTCGTGCCCATGAGGGTCACTTTGCAAAGAATCACTTAGTGCAGTCCTCTATGCACAAACAACTGTTCATGTGGTGATCACGATCTTCCCACACACACACAATGCCGAGTCTCTTTTCAAAGTGTATTGATCCTGATTCTACTTCCTTCTAAGACTTTCAAGATCTTTATAGAGTTGCCAACTGTCACATTAAAAATTTACGGTTCCCTTGCATTCCCATGATGATTGACCAGCAAGTGTGACTTATTACTTTAGGGAAACAAAAACAGGTTGTGCACAGGCTATTTCAGTGAATTCCGGATACTCCAACTCTCATGGGAAAACTGCTGTATAGCTGTGGTAAAGTGGATAAAAACAACTCTCAACAAGGAAGTAAAAAACAAGTCAAGTGTTTTTCTAGAAAGTCACCATTTCCTTTGCTGTGTCATCTGGGTGAGGTTAAATGTATATACCCAAACCAACCTCAGAGAAATCTTATTTTAGTATGGTTTGTTTTCTGGTAATGAAACCAAGGATTCCCTCAAAACACCCATAGCGTTCTAGCCTGAAGAAAGTTTTGGAGAGAGTAAACTAGTTGTAGAAATGTTGAGACAAGAGGTGGGAAAAAACCCAGACAGTTTATCTAGGCGGTAAACCCAAAGAATCAAAGAGTGACTGAAAACCCAATCCACATTTCGGCCTGGGTGGGAATCGAACCCAGACCACAGAGGTGGAGGATGATTTCAATCAATACTTCGGTGATTATCTTATTTTGCTGCATGTTTCATTTTTAAAAACAGTTCTTTTTCTAACCCTCCTGCTATTCAAACAGTCATGGACAGTCAAAATTCACTTCTACTTTCCCAGCTATACTGTTAACAAAGGCTAGTCACCAGCGGTCAGATCATGTTTTAGCAAGCACTGTGACTAGTCAAACTGGGTCAACAGACAAAGCAGGCAAGTTGTGGTCACAGCTATTTTATCACTCACCCGTAGTCAAAGCAGGCTGTTTCAAGTTACTTAAACAGTCCCAGCCAGTCAATCCTGTTTTAAGTACGCTGGGAATTCTTAACTGTTGAAAACAGTCACTCGATTGATTTTGACTCAAAGGACTATTTGGCACAGAATGAATGTTTGCGTGTAGGAGGGCTAATAACCAAAAGTGCAGTATCAAAAAGAATTTAAAAAATGAGTAAGTAATTATATGATTATAAAAACTATTAGGAACCTTTTGCACAATAACATTTATTCTTTGGAAATTCCGAACCGAGGTCATTGTTACAATTTGATAATGTATCTGTAGGGTTGGAAAACATTAAAGCAAAATACTTAACGGATGAACTGCATAATTTGGAGTATGGGCACCACAATGCTTAGTAGAGAAATTACTGCGTGGGCGCCTATTCCATTAGTAATTTATGAAGTAAAGTGCACGCGCGCATTACTATTTAATTTGATGAGGAGGCACACTTACCCCTGTTCTTCTGTAACAGTTGTGTCGTGTTTAATTCAGAACCACGAGGGTATTATCTAGTAGGGCTTAAGCACAATGAAAAAAATAGGATAGACTTCCGAGAATGAGTCTTAGCCTCAATCCGATGTGCTTGATGCAGGTTTTAAGCACGCTTGGTGCGCGTCACGAATATACATTTTTAATGGGGTTTTGATGTCAGGGCTGTAATTGCCATACATGGAGATCTAGGAAATTCACGCATCATTATCCCTGAGTCCATAACACAAACCATTAGCTAATGCAGTGGCGTAGCCAGGAATTTTTTCAGTGGGGGGCGCTGGGGGGGGGGGGGCTGGAACATTTCATGGGGGGGGGGGGCGTCATGTAGATCAATGATAATTTTTTTAGAAACTCAAAATCTCAGTGGGGGGCGACTGGGGGGGGGCGACAAGTTTTCATGGGGGGGCTGTCCAGCCCCCCCCCCCACGGCCCCCCGTGGCTACGCCACTGAGCTAATGCTGTGTAATTAGGGACCTTTGTAGGACAGAATGGATCTTTGAGATTGATAGCAGTTGAGATGACACAAAAGCTCTCCATGTTCGAATGGGCCGTTCCAAACTGATGTATTGGCTTATTATAACTGGCAGAGAATCCAAAGATGAAATGATATATATATTTTGTAATTGACACGGTGAAACTGCACAGAGATACACAAGTATATCGTCGCTGTACTCAAAAATTGACAAAAACCTCTAAATCTGGCAAAAGTTCATAACGAGATAATCGCATTTGCAGTTATTCCTTTTTTTCCCCGTAGACATTTTCGACCACTTTGCAGTAACAGAATTCGGAAATGTTTGCATTGTCCAATAGCTTGATTTGCTCTTTACTACTTAATAGTTGGTGTAAAAATCTCTTTTAATTAAACAGTAATTCATTAATGAGACCTTTTTGTACTTCGTGAGAACATCAATACGCGGAGGCCCATATAGTTTTCCCCATTACTTTGTACACAGTTTTTGTCACTACGTGGGAACATGAATCGCGGAGGCTTTTATTGTTTGTACTTTTTGTCCGTGCAACACACCGTTACTTTTATGCGTCTTAGGACAGTTGAGCGCGCGTCTGTTCTCTTTCAAAATCATTTGCCCGCATGTGTAAGCTCCCATCCTGACCCGTGAAGACGTTCGCCCTGCAAATGAGGTGACTTTTTTGCCACTTTGTGAGAACACGTACTTTACGCTTTTTTACACTTCGTAAAAACAAAAAACAAGGATTTCCGGCTTTTTGTCAAATGTTTGTTTACGATAATTACAATTTTAAGTAAACAATATTTTGCTTTGAAACTTGGTCAAATTGTTCCTTGAGACAAATATAATAAAAACGCCAGTATAACTCAAAATCGAACAATAATTCATTTTTGAGGTTTTGTCACTTTGTGAGCAAAGCAACGATATGCAAAAATGCCTAATTCTAGTTAAAGGAATCTCTGCTTACAGGCTTTTCAAATCATGCAAATGAACATGTTTAACCTAGGTTTAATAAAAAAACAACAACAAAAACCCAAGTTTTGAAACATTGGAATCAGCAATGAGGAGCACTGAATGTTTGAACGTTTACCCTGAGCAAGAAACTTCAATTAATTCCTGTCATTACAATTATTCCTTTCCAGGGCATCAACTTTGTGAACTTCAAGGATTTCTTCCAGTTCCTGAACAACCTGGACGACTTTGAGATTGTGCTGAAAATGTTCACCTTTGCTGATCAGCCCATGAATGAAGGTAAATTATAATTTTTTTAATTTGAAAAATTAAGAAAAAAATACCAGCAAGCTGCTCACTGGCTGGAATCCTCCTGCTGTCTGAACAGTCACAGACAGTCAAAAATCAATCCTCTTCCCCTGCCCTTTACACAGGCTAGTCACCAACAGTCAGATCATATTTAAAGTACTGTTACCAGTCAAATTCAGTCAACATACAAAAGCAGGCAAGTGCTAGCCAGGCACAGCTGGCTTATCAATCGCCTACAGTCAAAGCATTGCTGTATCAAGTTACATACAGTTCAATCCTGCTTTATGTAGACTGGGAGCTCTTAACTGTTAAAAACAATCACTTGATTGATATTGACTGAAAGGACAACTTTGCACAGAATGATGTTTGCATAGGAGGGTTAAAAGTTTAGTATTAAGGTCCTTCTTGGATAGAAAGACCAAGCCCCTAACTTATGTGATTTGGAATTTATTGAATAACATCCTTGAATTGCACCTCGGCTCACTGATCTCTTAATTGAGTGAAATGTATACCTGTACTGTGTTGAGTTACTAACCAGCCTGATATTGTACCATATGTTGCAGCTGAGTTCGGCCGTGCTGTTCAGGTGGCAACAGGTCACATACTGGATCCCCATGTGGTGCACACTGTTTTCCAGATATTTGACAAAGATGGTAAGTGACAGACCGTTCACCGTGACTGAATATTTAATGTATTTACATGCTTCAGAGACCAATTTGTAAGCATATGTCCAGTGTCAATTTCTGTAAGCAAAGAAACTACAGGGGGTAGTACAGGGTGGTGACTGCAAAAAGAAGGAAACCACTTTTGACAGCAATTTTCATTTGCATGACTGAGCTCCGGAGCTTGATTTGAAGACCAAAAAACACTACACTAGACTTACACATGGACAACAGTGATTTTGGTCACTTGGATTCAAATTAGCTTAATGACACTATTCTTGCGATTTTTTAAAGATTTTATCACCACGTATGGTTGAAGAGCTATACATGTACTTCACTACATTATAAAAAAAAACCAGATCGAATAAGTTAAGTAAGTAGGTTGAAATTCCTGTCAAAAGTGGGTTTCCTTCTTTTTGTACCACCCTGTATATAAAGCTTAGAATTCAAAAATTCCAATTTCTGAAAGCATGTTTCCTAATTGATTGACACTTTTTTTTGGCAGGGGATGGGAAGCTTAGCCAGAAAGAATTCTTGGGAGTGATGAAGAATAGAATACATCGTGGCTTCAGGGTAAGCATTTATTAACTCTTTGATGGTCCGTTAGTGGATTCAGCAAACGTGTGTTTAAAATGCTGAAAACACTCCTATAATTATTTTTTTGCTAGAAGTTATATCAGTGAGGTTCTTGTTGGACCTCAAAATAGTTTTGCATTGTTGGCGTGTTTCTTTATATAAATTGCATGCAGATATAACATAATTCACCATTGCCTGAAAGTGTTGTTTTATCTAAAATCACAGTTATTGCAGTTGTATATCCAACATTGTGAAATAAATATCTTGTAATCAGTGTGTAATTTTCTAAATTGCGCTCGATTTTAATATCCATTTATAATTTTGTTGCATCTTCTTATTACCTCTATCACACTCTCAGACGGTAAGTGTCCTATATCTACATTTTGTGAAACTATCTGTCTTTTTTTCTCTGCACACTTTCTACTTGCATGCACATATTCACACTCGCAATATTGACAGCTTAGGAAACCTTCCAATTTCTAAGTTATCCCAAAAAGAATTAAAATTTATACAGTTTAACAGATTAATTTGTAATTGTTAAATTAATTTCATCATTTGTACCCAAATTAGCAAAAAAAACTTGCTGGTTATTTTCAAATCAAACATAACAAAAGAAATCATTTGAGCACTAATATTATAATACCTACATTTTTAAATCTTGTGTGTGTGTTTGTTTTTTATTCTAAAGACGTTAATCTTCTCATTATTTAAATGTGAAGAATATTAAAATTGTTCTTGAATAGACTCATATTTTCCTACTCTGGCACCCATTGTTTTTACCCTTCACTGTATTGATCCATCCACAGTCATTGTTCAAATTCTCTCTTTTCTTATTGATGCTTTTGTGATTGGTCACTGTCGGTTCAAAGAAGAAATAGTTAATTGACTTCCAGATTCCACCGAATAATATTTCAACCAAATTACCTTTATTTGGAGAAGTAAAGCAGTCAAAATTATTTCGCATACAACTTGGTGATTATCTTTCAAGCATCATGTTTTATTTACTCAACACCCCAAACTACTAGAATGAATAGGACACTACACATACACATACAGTCATGCAGTCACTATTTGATGAATGAAAACAAATATGAAATCCATTGTAGTGTAAAATTGTGCTCATTAAAAAACATCTTGCAGTATGTGCCTTTTGAGGCAGCATTTTTGGTAGGGACTATTTAGATTATAAAGTGGAAATGAAGGCTTTCTTCGGAGGCAAATGACAGAGGAACAAGAAACAAACATGTTTTTATTATTGTTAATTATTCTAGTAATGAAACCAAGGATTCCTCAAAAGCCCCTAGGCACTGTAGCTCGCAAGCCTGAAGAAACCTGTAGAGAGGATACAATCAGAAGAAATTACAGTTTTAGAGGTGGGAGGAAAACCCCAGAAGAATATTCTGGGGAAAACCCACGGAATAAGGCAGGGACTGAAAATCCAATCCACATATTGGCCCAGGTGGGATTCGAACATGGGTCACAGCGGTGGAAGGCAAGGAAAGTACTGCTACACCAACCTGACTCCCCTATGTAGGGGACACACAAGCATGCAGGGTTGGAAAGAGAAACACCATAAATTATAAAGAAGTATTTGTCTCTGTGCAATCGTTCCTGTAACCATCAAGACTATGAAATTGATGTTTTGTGAGTTGAGATCTTGAAATTGGTTGCACACTTTTTGTTTTGTTGGTTGGTTGATTGTTTTGTTTGTTTGTTTGTTTGTTAATATTGTCTATTGTTTCCATGATCTTGCAACATTTCTCACTTTGCCCTCTGCCCCAACCAATTACGTTTTCCACTTAATTATAGGTTGTAAGTTTTTTTCTCTGTGCTCTTGTTCATTAATGTAATCTTAACTTGTAAAAAAAATCCATTGTTAGTTCACAGCTTATTGCAAAGCAAATCACATCTTGAGACAAATATAGTCGTAGAAAAAAAAAGAACAAAAGGTAGCATCTTTGTGAAAGTTTTAGTTAGTAAAAATGCTTGCCTTCATCATATGATTAGCGCTTCTTCAAGACAAAATCTTGAATTTGTTCAATTTCATTTCATTTAAATTTACCGAACCCTTTTTTTCAATATTGTCACCGCGTTGCACCTTTGATGGACGGTAACTGATGATTTTTTATTGTGCAGTCAGTCATATGTTTTTCTGTTCTCCTTTTGCTTTCACTTTCCTTTCTGCAATTCGAAACTAAATAAATATTTTTATTTTGTTGATGACAGGAACATCTGCAGAAGCCCGTGGGTTGGCAAGGGTTCAAGGCGTGTGTCAAGCGAGAACTGAAACAGAAATAAACTCAAATGAATATTTGTACGATAAACTTACTCATGTTTTCTTTTCAAAGCTTCTGTACACATTAGAATCCATCTCAAATTTCAAGTGTATTTGCTTATTTGCATGTACACAACATCAGTTGTCTTGAAATGTTAAGTTATCTAAATGCTATATATGAAATAGATTTCAAGATTGAAAAATAATCTTCATAGCTTTAACCTACACCATTCAAAAGTCAAAGACAGCAGGTTTCTGTAGTTTATGATGAGAGATTTAAAGTGTATAATCTTCACTCACTACCAATGGAGTACACTTTTTTGTAGTTTCAAGCAGGTTTAGAAATATGTCAAGACCTTGTTAATCAGTTAATTATATTCAGGTTTTCACTTTCACCTGATTCACTTTTGTCTTTATTCAGTTTTTTTTCCATTGAATTTAAGTAATGATGGTAAAACTCGGGATCTCCTTTTTAAGCATAAATTCATTTATTTGTAATGTTTTTGTAAGAAAGGGTATCCTACATATCATGAGGCATTTTTGAAATGAGCCAGATGTTCCACTCGCGTACCCTTTGTGTGCCTATTGGAACATGATAGGTAAAGGAGGAAAGGACCAGACGTGGCTTGTGCTTATTACACCTTGCAAGTACAGTGGGGCTCTTTAGTACAAACTCTGTTACAACAAAATTGTGGTAATAGCGAAAATAAAGCCTCGGTCACGACATTGCATTGATATGTAGCAAAAATTCATATTTAGCAAACTTTTTTTGTTTGATAAACTGACTTGGTTTTCACAGCAGATAGTTTTTGATATTCACCTTAATTATTTTGCGCTCTAATCTCTGCTCGCTCTATAGGACCAGTACATTGGATGAAGGGGGGGGGGGGGATGTAGGCCATGCCCCCACGACTTTTTGTTGTTTCCAATTGGAGGAGTGAAGACACTTTTGGTCTTAAATTTTTAGGAAATAAATTGAAACGTTGCGTGTCTCCCTCGCAAGCCATCAGCTACACATACCTTTTAGTTTTAATATTACAATGTAGAAATAGCGCACGATACTATATATATATATTGAAAAACAAAATACTCGCACCCATGGACTTGCCCCCCCCCCCCCCACACACACACACACAAATTTGGTTCTGGATGCGCCCCTGGACAAGTATTTCATGTCGTATCTTATCACATTGTAAATTATTATAGAAAGTTTATTTCTCTAAACAATACAGGTGCATATTTCAAAAGCATCGTATTGGAGCCATTTATTTAAAGATCATATCATTCAAATACATTTTGTGACTGATTATCTATGTTGCTTGTGCAGCGCCACTTTTCTTTATATTGCGGCGGGTTTAAATTAATTTCTATCAACTTATTTGGTCCAACAAAATTAATATTTCCTTCAACTGGTGACTTGGTAATAATTAAGTAATAACTAAATACTGTTATTAAGGAACTAGACAAACTTTGTCTATAAACTCTATCTATGTTGCTTGTTCGAAGCTACTTTTTCTTATAGTTGTGTCAGGTTTTAATTAATTTCTATCAAGTTATTTGGTCCAACAAAATGCATCCTTGAACTGTTTACGTGTACATTTAAAATTGAATGTAAACTAACAACATAATACTGTGTGATTAAGGAACTAGACAAACTTTACATGTATATTTATTTGAGGTTTATGTATGTGGTACGATAATGATAGTCATATTTATTTCATTTCAAAAATGATATAATAAATCAAAACCATGTACTCTATAATATGTCAGGTTTTGTGATCTTTCTGTGGTTGTTAATGAGTGGCACATAAATATTCCTGTCTTTAAGCACAATGTATGAGCAAAACAGAAATAGCGAATATGTCATCAGAAATTCGTTTGTGAACTGGTTATTGGGGCCCCACTGAAGCCCATTGAATGAGGTGGAAAGGTTAAAGGTCAAGGTCAAAAGTAATAAATCTCTGGAGGGACCCAACATTAATGAGCCCAATTTTGCATTCTGCTAGGATTTGTTGCCAAGAAGCCTATTGAATTTCACTGCCCTAAGGTCAGAGTGCTCAAGTTTATTAGAAGCGCAAAACCGAGATAAATTTTGTCTGCTCATGAACTTGAGGAATGTTTTGAGTATGGAGGTCACATATGGTTGGTGAATTAGTCTCTCAGTTTGGGGTGAAATGACAAAGAAAAAGGCATCACACGCCACTTAACAGCTAGAAAAACTAGCATTTTTAAAGACATTTCAATTTTTGGAATTGTGTTTGCGTCCCAGGAAAGCCTATTTAGGTTTGACTGGAAAAATGAAAGCTTCAACCAAGAAAACTTAAAGGAGTTTTAATTATTAAAAATTGAGGGCGCATTGCTAGCGCGAGGCGATCCACCACTGATCACTAGCGTCTTGAACCAAGTCTATGCCTTCCCGGCCCCACCGAAATTTAAATAATAAAAGGTTAATATGCATAATCGAGCGTGTTTCACTCTTCATTCAAGTCTCATTTAAAACTTTCCATATCCGAAGCGTTACCAGCAAGGCATAATACAGTCTTGTCAGGCTTTAATCAAGTCTACCAGCAATGAATGCGCGCGCGCCAAAAGTCGCTTGAATTAATTCCGCAATTGCACGTGTTTCGCTGGTGTCCGTAAACCTGATAGCCTCCATGTGTTACTGGCTGGTACCAGTGAAACACGAGGGCGGCCATGTTTAAATTTCGACGAGGCGGAAAAATTCGGCATGTTTGGTGTTCACATTTACAGACAAATTTTCTGCTCGAAATAATTTTGAAAAGTCTTCCAAAAGAGACAATAAGATAAAATAATGGTCTGCCATCAAGGTGAGTACACTAGGGGACCCTTTTTCACCTTATTTGTGAACAAACAAGTTTCAAAAATTGCAGAGTCGGGTGAGTGGTACAGGCGTGCAGCTTGCCACGCTTGAGATTAAATAAGGGGCGGGGCCTCATGTAAGATAAGGAGTAGATTTCCCCATCACAACCTTATTATTGGCGATCGTGTATCTACGGGCCCGGTTCCGGCGATCATGAAGTGTAGGGCCCCTGTTTTGTTTTGATCAAATTTGAGTCAAAACTATTTTTTATTGCTCAAAAATCACCTTTACAATCAAAAGCAGACTTTTCTCAATTCTAATGACACCCGTTTTGCAAATTTGAACAGATTCTTGGGGTAAAAATCACGATTTTCCTGCGCGGTTTGTGCCTTGCGATTCAGTGCGCCGTGCACGCTCACGGTACATCGCGGGGTGATCGCCATCTTTATTTTCGGGTCGCGTGTTGTCGCCGCGCTGTCAACGTCATTTTACCCCCAAATTTCCCTCAAAAAAATCAAAACCCTGCCCTCTATCTATGACACACCTGTTTATTGAGAATGTCGCCAACTAGTTTGGTAGGTCCAATAATTTTAAAGTGGAATTTGTTCCCTTAAAGGAACTGGGCCCTACACTTCACGATCGCCCGGGTTCCTATAATATAAGGGAACAAAATCCACTTTTAAATTATTTGGCCTACCAAACTTGTTGGCGACATTAAGAACATGCAGGTATGTCATAGATAAAGAGCAGGGTTTTGAATTTTTGAGGGAAATTTTGGGGTAAAAATGACGATGACGTTAAAACGCAACATGAAAATAAAGATGGCGATCACTGTGCAATGTACCGTGAACATAAAAGGCACACTGAATTGCACTGCACCGACCGTAAACTGCGCGGGAAAATCATAATTTCTACCCTAAGAAACTGTTCAAAAATTACAAAAAAGGTGTCATCATATTGAGAGAAGCCTACTTTAGGTTGAAAAGGTCATTTTGGAGTAATCAAAACACCCTTGACTCTGATTTTATTGAAACTAAACAGGGGCCCTACACTTCATGATCGCCATTTTACTTATTGGGGTACAATTGTTACAATAGGGAAAAGATTCCCATATCTGGCCAACACTATTCACTAATTTTTCCTTTCAGTGACCTGTCAGCCATCAGAACGTGATAATGTGACCTAAAGAGTCCAAATTAGCTGGGAAAATATCACACTTAAGTGCTCAAAATGATGCAAAAGAAGATCAGGCCAACTTTACTCACTCATTAGCCAGCTAATTTTTCCAAAACATTCACTGGACAAATGAAAGGTCCTCAGTATTTCACCAACCAAGTTTTAAGACTCAATTCAATTTTGAAAGGAGACTTTTCTTCAATTTTTGGCAGTGCCTTGCACAAGAGAGGGAAGTCAAGTGATTTCAAAATGAGGCTGAAGACTAGACTTCTACATGTCCATCCATGGTCCAACTGTTTGACAAGACTGACTTCTTCATTCCTTGTCATTAGTCTGGTGCCTGACTAGGCAGAAATGTGTAGAAATATTGACCTAGTACCCGGCATCCTAGACATTTCTTTTGGCACAGTCAGCTGAAAGTTGATTGATGCAGTACTGAATAGTCCCATAAAAGTGACTGAAATGCTGGACTACCTCTGTATATCACAGTCACAGAGCCACGGAGTATCCCGTTGCTAGGGGAGCCGAAAATTAATTAAAGATCGAAATTATTTTGTCAGCAGAAAATCAACCCAGCTATAGTATAGACTTGACTCAAGTCGGAATTGCTTTAAGTCGGTATTTAAAAAAAAAAAAAAAAAAAAGTAGTAAAAATCACTTTGTTTACTTCTTTCCAGATGCCCGACAAGGTACACTTCAGCGCGCGTTCCACTTCAGTGCCGTATAACAATGCGCACACACTGTATGTACATTGTACAGCACGCGTATTACATGTGTGTGCATGTGTTGCAGAGCATGTGCATACATGTGGTGCAAAAGTTAGCAATTCCGACTTGATCAATCTGCCATCAGCACCCCCCCTCGCGTGAACGCACACGTATTCATCGATGCATAGGCAACACCATCTCTATGCATATGCAGCAACATCGCTTGACCAATCAAAGTAACACATTTTTGAAGACTCGTTTATTATTTTCAGTAGGTATGGAAGGCTGGATAACAATCTGCAAAAGTTTAAAAACGTAATCTCAATTTGTAGAGTTCAAACACATTATATTGGGATGATAATGCTAAGATCATCTGCTCTTGGATTGAATTAATAAAGAATACGACATTCAAATGTTATTCAAAACCTGTAAAAGATGTTGAGATCCATTGATACCGCTTCGTGTTGTGCGTACCCAGAGCCGTTTCAAAGCATTCGAACGTACGCGTGCGTGTATCTGTTTCTACTCCTCACCATGGGATGCGTGTGCGTTCTCCGCGAAACTTTGGCTGCGCGAATACGCAGACAGCACTGATTGTGTGTTAGGAATAATATCAAAACAATCTGCGCGCGTTTTTAAGAATCAAAACGCTCATAATACTGAAATACTGTGATATGATTGGCTTCTACCGAAATCGGTAGAAGCCAATCACATCGAGAATTAATTTCCATAGACTGTGTACAAACGTGGAACAAACCAGCGCGTACACTTGGCAGATTGACCAAGTCTGGGTTGCTGCATCACTTGAAAATAACATGTACATGTACGTTTTTAACATGATGGTCCGGATTCGACGCATGAGGGCGGGCGTTCTGTAAGGACGTATGCGATATGCGCTGTGAGTGGATTTACTCTAGGCACAGACCGAGCGCAACCCAGACTTGGCCAAGTCTAGCTATAGTATGACTGCTAAATAGCCCAAAATTGTTAAATTCGGTACCTTCAGAGGTCTAGTTATCCAAAAATCATGGTAATTCGTCAAAGAATGCAGACGGTTTTGAGCAACATGGCATCGCTGATATGTTTCACGGCCACCCTAATAATAGTCAAGAGGCCAAAGGGGTCAGGGAACCAAACAAGAGCTTTAATCATCTACTGAGCGTGCGTCAACTTTGGCAAAGCGCACCGCGGCTGTTCCCTGTCATTCCAAAATCTTTGCACTCTGTGAAGTGCCCGGATGCAATACGCTGCCGCGGATGAAGAGCGCACACAAGAGGGCGCGCTTCGCTGCAGAGGGCTTCAAAGATTTTGGAATAGCAATTTTTCCACAATATGTGATTTTATTTATCGAGGCCCAACTACTGAATTGTCTCTGTTTTCCACCTGTTAAACATTGTGTTGAAGGTTTGCCCTTTTCAGTAGAAATAGGCTATTGACTAAACTAAATATTATCTAAAAAAACCACCCTTTTTCCCTTGTTCAGATGAGACTTCCTTACAAAAAGGGCTAACTGCTGTGATGAGAACAACGCACTGCAGGTGTGGGCGGACTCCAAAAAAAAATGCCTGCATGTACTTGACTCTCTGGGTCCATCATCAAGGAGTTCCAGTCTCTGCAAGTTCATGGGGAAAAATGATGGAGGAGTAGACCTGCACGAAAAACCGTGGGGCACCAGAAACCGTGAACTGGCACCTCTAGAGCTGGATGAAGCTTCAGTGAGGAAGGATCTGCAGTTTCTGTTGACCAAGTTGAAGCGGATCCTACAAAGCATCCCTAGATGGCTTTGGAGACATCTGGACTTGAGTGAACTCCAGTGCAAGTCGTTAAGCATTGATGTTACGCTGCAGGTGCGGTCGTAGTTGCCAGTGATGTGCTGCGCTGAACTTGCTCCACTCTTCTGACCTTTGCAAACCATGTTGAGGCTGGATTGGACCAGACCAGTGCTTAGACTAGGCAGGACAGGCTGGATGACCATCACCATGGTGACTGGGATGACCTTAAGGGTGAGTCAAACCAAGAATACAACCTGCTCCATCAAAACTCATCACAATGTGCACCATTAAGAACCTCCTTTGTAAATGACCATCATTCTCTCATTCGATTCTTGTGAATTGGAGTTTTGTCCTCAACATTCTGATTGAAAGAACTTTGATACTTTTACCTGACAGTATCACGGACAAAACATGTATTGTAATTTGAAGAGGAAAGAAAAATGAAAATGATATCTCAAGCAATGGTCATGGCAGTCATTTTTGAAAGACCGAGAAATTAATAGTTGCCCTCTTTAATTGATTACTGTGTGATTTGATATACATAAACATAAACAAACAAGAAATTCCATTTGTGTGAACTGTCCCCCACACCCATAAGACTTCCGTGCTCACATTAGCCCTCGGAACAAATGCCCCAACGCATCGTTGCAACAGCTTTTACAAACTAAACTTTTCAATTGATAAAATGCCTTTCCCAAATTAAAATGCAAGAAAATAGGAAGACGGAAATACATGATTTTCAACTTTGAAGTACACAGTAAGTTAAAATTTGTAAAAGCTATTTGAAATTGAGATATTTGAAAAAAAAAACAATTATTATCTTAAACACTTTTCCTCAAATACATGTTATTTGATACAAAATCGATTTCAAGGACAAAATTGCTCGTTATATATCTAAACTTGTTTTAAATCAAAATTGTACCTTTTTTTGATAAAAAAATGCACTTACTCTTTCATAAAATTGAAATGTGCTTTTTTATTTACTGCTTACTGCTAGGGCCAAAAACAGAACAAAATGACACAGGTTGGGATTAATAGTGTATTATTCTGTAATTTGTAATTTTCCCAACCTTCTAATTATGACTAGTGTCCCGCCCACAAAAGAGGGAGTTTGCTCAAATGTTGTGGTTTTCATGTAATTTGAACTTCATTTTTCATTTACCTCACTGCGAGAAGTCTTGATAAATGAATCAGGTTTTTTGTATTTACTTTGCCATTTCTAATAGACAACCCCACCCACAAAAAGGTAGGGGAAAATGGGTATTCAATTGTGTACTCTTGATTTGGTACCACAAGCCAACTGACTATTGGTAAGCTTACAGTGACTTTTTAGTAGTAACCATTTGCTTGAGTATATGGACCTTCCATTTGCTGAGTTGCATCTCACCTATGAAACGCTGGAGCTAGTCATTGCACTGCAGCCATAGTTGAGACAAGACTTTCCCTTACTCCCCCTGGTGATTCCTGACTGGCTCATCACCGTCCATTCCTCCCCATACCTCCACCCTTCCTTCCGCCTCTACATACCCCCACCCCTACCTTCCCTACCTTCCATCCCTGCCCTCATCCCGTGTCTATCATCACTCGCACGCACGCACGCACTGTTTCACGTCTGCCTATCCTTCTTCACCCCTCCTCTTTTCTTCTGTCACTCGCACGCACCATTTCATATCCACCCTTCCTGCTTTCACTAACATGGGATCATGACAGCTACCTTCCCGGTGGTGATCCTGTTAAGGGAAGTTTTCCTGTTAAAGGGAAATTTCCTGAACTAAAGCTGTCAAATAGGGGATGCTAGTACACTGGATCTTTTTGAACGGTTATCAACTTTAATCTCCATTAAGTCTTTATAATGGAGATCGATGGTCATAATTTCATGTTGCATTATGCAATTTCATATTGAAACAAAAGAAAGTTCCAAATTTGAAATACACTTGAAAAATGTTTAGCTTGCGCCATTTTACACACAAAATGTAAGGAAATTTTCTTATTGAAATTTATCTGAAAATTTCCCTTAATTTGCATACTCTAGTTTTGCATACTTTATTCGCAAGTTATGTCTATTTCGCCATTAATTTTGCACAAAAAAAAAATGCTTCAATGTGTCCAGCTGGCATCTGGCTGAATATTGATTTACAAGGTCAAATGACAAGGAAATGCAAAAACGTTTTGTGTGGACCTTTATGCACAGTCCACCTCCAACTTGCAGTTTGACACTCGGACTACAATCACTTCTTGTCATCACTCTTCAACGATTCGGCAATTCATCGTGGGCCAGGACCAGCGTAGTGCTTGGAGTTGACGAGTCTGGTGAGAATGAGACGGCTCTTTTGAAAGTCAACCGGCATGATAGACAGTGACCTCCATGACCACCACGTTCACTTCGCTCAAGATTTACATGCACGGGAAATCAGTGAACTGAGATTTGACTGGTTTTTATTTTCAAAACTCAAACTTAGTTGCTCCATGAGTTGCTTGCGGTTCACTCCATCTTGAACTTGAATTACAAAGATGATGTTGATATACCTTGTTGGAATGTAGCCTTTTGGACGATTTGGGAGGCCGCTGCTTGAACTTCTACAGTGGCAGTCTGCAGTACTTCTACTTCTACTCTGGTACTCGTTAGAATCCACAAGACTGGATGTAACGCTGAGGGACTTCTTGAGCATGAGCGGTGCAGGAGGTGCATACAACCTGCAAGTAAAAACTTCGGCACTTCATGTGAACAACGCCATAGCTACTGTGGGTGAGTGAAGCCTAATACTTATATTAAAAGCCTGAATGCCTCTGGCCGTACGCTATGGAAACGGGTCAAGTCCTACACATGCCTGCTTGTATGTGGCTAACTCTTACGCGGACCAACTGGTACGCGAGCCAACTTGTTCGCGGGTTGCAATGATCGTGCCAATTTAAATGAATTGAACGATACCGTTTCTAGATTGGACGGCGTCAAGAATTGTTGACCACATTTAATTTTATCAGCACTGAATAGTTTTCATTTAAAACATTTCTGGAATCCCAAAGTGATCCGCTCATGAGATTCGGGCATGCAAGTCGGAAGTATCACAAAAAGAGGAAACTGCAATCTTTCCAAGACTTTGTACGGTGTTTTTAAATTTTTCATTTTTTTTGTACACTACTAATATTTTTAATATTTTCATTGAATGCATGGAATCAAAAGTGAAATGAGCGAATTAAGATTTGACTGATGTTTTTTAATTCAGTCCTCAGAAGAGACTGACCTTTACAAGCCATGCTGAGGCTGGATTGGACCAGACCAGTGCCTAGACTAGGCAAGGCAGGCTGGATGACCATCACCATGGTGACTGGGATGACCTTAAGGGTGAGTCAAACCAAGAATGCAACCTGCTCCATCAAAATTGATCAATGTGTGCACCAAATCGCAGAAAAAAAGGTGTTTGTGAAAGACCCTTTTTATCTAATTTGATCCCCATGAAATACATGCACATCCTCAACATTTTGATTTGAACTTTGAACTTCAGCCATGTTCTGACATGCGTGTAAACTGACAGTGATTTCTGGAAGAAAGAGGAATGGGGGAAAAATCTCTAAAATGGTCACTGTCTGACTATCAAGAACTGATTAAGCGTTATTACAGCAATGTGGATGATTGAACAGAAATGTGACAAATGGAGTTCTCCATAAAATGTGCAATTTCAGTCATTGCCTTTTGTAACTATAAATAGATGAAAATTTGACAATTGAGCGTGAAATATTTTTGATGTCACTCAGTTTCATTTATGGTGCACACGTTTGTGATGGAGCAGGTCTTCAGTTTAACATCAAAGTGACAAGAATCTGATACTGAGAGGAAAGTTGCTCTACCTGTGCTCTCCAAAATATTCAATTTTTTGTCTGTAAAACATATTTCAATTTGTATGCTTTATTTTAAACAGAAAAAGCTACTCATTTCTCATTTTAGGTTTTTCCAACGTACTTTATACTACGCTTGTATTTTGGGTTGCTGTTGTGCCCAAAAGATATGCCTAAATATCGTTGGGCTGTGAATCCATGTCTCAAAATTTGGACAGTTAATAACCATAAATAAATATTCCTTGGGGATATTTTTGTTCTTTTTCTCATTCAAATTGCATAACTTTTGTATTCCTAGAAAAGTATAGAAGTTTACAACTTAAATCTATTTAGGGGGTTCTACTGGAAAATAGCACAGGATGAGCAACTGAAAAAACCCATTGTTGTACTGTTTAGCTGCTTAACCCAATATTTAGTATGGTAATAGTACACACATTTCTCATTCTTTTGGTTGCAATGTTCATCCCTTTTCACTTTAAAGTTGGCCACAATAAATTTTAGTCATGATGGGAAAGTTCACAGATAACTGCATGCAGAATTTATCTTGTGTGGTGCCAGTTAAAATTACAGGTGTTTGTCGTACATCATCAAATTTGCTATTTTTGAAACAGTCAACCAATATCAGGAAATGATTGGGATAGAAATATTTTACTTTGTCAATGAACGTTTCTGAGAGACGACACATTATGGTGGTTTTTCTTGAATGTTTCACATTGTCAGTGAACGTTTCTGAGAGACAACACATTATGGTGGTTTTTCTTGTGTCGGTCTCATTGATAATTTGTTGGCAAGAAAAATTTCTCAAAATGCTGAACAATTTGAGAGTGTTCTACTTTTGTACAAAAGAGATACATGTATATGCGTAGGTGCCAGTCTGGATCAGGATCGCCTTTGCTTTCTATCACAATCTATGACCATGTGACAGTGCTTTCTGACACATGATGTACGTGTCATAGCGCCTTCTGGTTTATTACAAAACCTTGATTGCTTGAGAAAAATCTCTTTTTATCCCCCTCTTTCCATTTTGGCTCCCGCTTTGTAAAGCTACTTGTAGGTAGTCTAGTTTTGATCCTTTCATGTGAATCTTACTTATTATTCGTCTTTCCTGGTTTCCAACACTGATAATCTGTAATCTGGTGTTATGTACATGTAACTATATCTGCGCTATAACACCCCCCCCCCCCCCAACAAAAAGACCCTGAAGCTGTTATCAGCTTTTATTAGCTCTTCTCAAAACTTGCATAAAAAATCTGAAAGGTTACTTGGGTGATTTTTCTTGGAGAACTCTCAGGGAAGAAGCAAAAGTTACACTGGAAACGAAATACTGTAATTTAATCTGTTACATCGTTTCCCCTAAAGTTCAAGGTGGGTCCCAATCTTTCAGGACTTCTCTGGCTTAGACATGGAGGGATTCTCTCTTTTCGCGTGGATCACAAATATGTGGATGATTCATGAAAGGTATTGAAGACTGTGACATCATCTTGGACAGTTAAACCTTGGTTGTGTTGCCAAAAAAAGATAGGTTTCTTCGGAAACACACAAGTTTTTGCCTAAGTATTTCCCAGCTATGAGTAATGGAAGGATGACTGCTCTGTAAATCCAACAGCTAATTAAAATATGAGGCATATACCGTTGATCATGAGAAATCCCTCAAACTCATACTAAGTAAAACATCAGGGGCGATCGCGTAGTTTGTCGGTCAATAGCAAACTCAGTTTGGTGGTTGGTCACATTGTGGCAGTCGTGGTCATGTCAGTCATCCCTGAGAGTCACCTTCACACTGGACACCCAATTCCTTGGAATTCTACCCTTTTCCTTGGAATTTCCTTGGAATTCTACCCTTTTTCTTGGAATTTCCTTGGAATTCTACCCTTTTCCTTGGAACTCTACCCTTTTCCTTGGGACTCTACCCTTTTCCTTGGGACTCTACCCTTTTCCTTGGGACTCTACCCTTTTCAAACTCCAACATTTCACCAACATGCTTTCTGATACTTTAAGTGGGAATAGAAACCCCATGCAGGGCCAAGAATTCTTTTGCTTTGATCTGGCAACATTTTCCCCCCATTACTGGCATGATAAAACCTATTCATATTATTCCCTTGCCATTTGTTTTCCTTCATGGAATTCAAACTTGACCAAAGTGTAGCTACAGTGCTAAGCTTTAGCCTCCCTTGTGTCAGCTACATTGAAATATGAATTATCTTATCTCTCAAGCCTTGCTTGTACACTTGCCTGCCGTTTTATCCAATGAAACCAAGTAGTTGGGCCTATCTCTACTTTGCTTTCCTTTCCCTTCCTGTATTCTATCTTTTAAATTGCACTTGGCTGCATTTTACAGTCCAACCAGTCACATGTAGGCCTTTTTCTTTGAGTTTTGTCCAGCTCTAGTACATTATTTTCTCTTGCCATCTCTGACCAAAGCTGGAGCCAAGCCAAACTTGACTCGGACCTTGTAATAGCTGTACTTTCAAATTTCCTTTCTTAACCTGTATTACGCCCCCCCCCCCTCCCATAAAAAAAAAGGATTAAAAGATGGAGTTCCATTACAGCATAAAGTGGATTGGGGGCTCAATTTCAGACTCTTTCTGTGGAGAATGTTTGACTGGCAATCCGGAAAAGATTTTGAATCGATTAAATAAGTAATGCTCACTAGAAATGTGTTTCCAAAGTTAAAGGCAGAAGGACTTACACACAGGAATTTTATATTGTCTAGTATTAGGCAACCATAAGCACGCCTTTTATGTCATCCACTTGACCACAAGAAACGTGGATTATTCAAGCTTTGCAGACTGTCTGATGATGTCTTGAATTGTCAAGTACAGAAAGTGGGATTAAGTCTGTGGAACTGCATCAAAATATTTTAGTGGAGTACTATACTTTGTATTTTTGGGATGCCTGGAATTGGGGAAGTTTAATTTCCTTGTCAGATTCTCATTCAGATGCATGAACCGTAAGTTCTCAATTAAGGCATTTAGTTGGAATTGGTAAATTGCTCAAACCGATTCTTTTTTTATAAAAACATTCTGCAATTCATTATCTTACTTTGGTTAGTCACAGATAATGTTTCACATTTCAAAACAGGTTTAAACAATCCGGAATGTGTGTTCTTCCTCTAAAATAAAGGGAATGAGAAGAGGAATGAATCTTTTTAGTTTAGTTTAGTTTAGTTTTCTTTTTAAATTTCTGTTCCTGCATGATTTCCGTTCATCCATGAGTTTGATTTGGGGATAAAACTTTGGGAAACGTAAAGAAAATATAATCAAATCCAGACGATCAATTCCAGAAAATTTGAAAAAGAAATTACAACAAAACCCTAGCCCAATTCAATTTTTGTTCTGAAAATATATTGTATAATTATGTTTGTGTGCACACCTTACAGCATGTTTAAATAATTGTGGAGCTGGTTGACCTGATGTTGATAATGATGAATTATCTCAGTCATATCATGTTTCCATATAATCATTTTAAATTATTCAAATAATGAATGTTTGTGAGTGCAGTGTTAAGAATAATTTCATGAGGTGCCCGAAAGGTGGAATGTTCCATATTGGAACACTCCATCTGTCACCGAATGAAATTATTCCTCCCATCGTGAAACATTCATAATTTGTTTTACACAACACGTGAATATATCCTCATCAGCTGATTGGTCAAAGTGTGACCATGCAATGGAACTTCCATTTACCGTGGGATGAAACTTCAAAAATCTTTTGCGGTGCGGCCGGGCGATACGTTGGGACAAATATTTCAATGACATGTGATCAACAACCCACCAATCAGATGATGAGGATTTATTTAGATGTTCTATAGTATTAACTATTATTATTTATATCAGGCTTCCAGCGGTAAAAATAAATCAGCATATTGTATGCTTGTTTGAAACGTACCCAGATGACAGCAATATTGTCAGTAAAAGTACCCGGATTGCGGGCAATATTCTTTTGATATTGTCCTACGCGCCCTCTTCTGGGCATTTTCGCTGGTTCCCGCTCGATCAGGAGCGTAGACACTCACAGTTGTCAACCAGTCAACAGAACATAGGGTGGGGTTCCGTCGAACACGGACGTCCACACGGTGCGCAGCAGGCCAGGTATATGCGCAATAATGTCAACAATTACAATGGCAGCTTCAAATAATTTGATGAAATAGGAGAAATGAAGACAGAGTCTTCAATTGTATTTCTTGCGAATTAAGTCGGCCTGATATAAATATTAATACTAATATTGGATGGCTTTTTTCCGGGGATACTATACATAATAATGAATGTTTGTGAGTGCAATGGTAAGAATAATTTCATGAGGTGACAGATGAAATGTTCCATTCCACGAGGCGAAGAATGGAACATTTCATTTGTCACCGAATGAAATTATTCTTTCCATTGCACGAACCTGAAACATTCATTATTTGTTTTATATAACACCTGAATAAATCCTTGTCATCTGATTAGTTGACTTTTAATAGCCAATTTATATTCAATTTCATATTATAATCATATGATAATCATATTCAATTATCTCGTTTTAAAACAGCGCCACCACCAGCAGCAGTGACACCGTGCAATGGAAGTTCTATTCACAGTGCAATAGAACTTCCATTGCACTGTGCGCTGTGCACCATGCGCGCGCCGTGTGTTGGGACGAATAATTCAATGACATGTGATCAAGGATCCACCAATCAGATGACAGGGATTTATTCAGGTGTATAAAAGAACATATTGCACTTGCTCTGACAATATAGCTTGTGCAAGATACTCTTACTTTGTGAAAGTATCAACCTACATGTAAGCCATCCAATATTATATAATTACATGTATTCTCAAACAATAATGAACAGTTCATGCTACAGTGTTTTGATTAAGGTCTAAAACTAGTTTTTATAACATTGTGGATTTCTGATTTAAATGTAAATTCACAGTCATCTTACACCTAACTTGAAGTACAAATTTTGAATACTAAGCAAATCCATTGGTCAAATAACACGGATCACTTTAAATAAGTGGAGAAATTGCAAAGAGACCACTTATTGGGTGGCGTGGGTGGCTTGTGCGTAAAGCGCTTGCCTCTCACCAAGGTGACCACGGTTCGAATCCTGGCCGCGGATCGCATGTGAGTAGAGTTGTGCGTTGGTTCTCTCCTGTTCCACGAGGGTTTTTCTCCGGGCTCTCCGGTTTCCTCCCTCCGTAAAAATCAAACACTTTCGATCTCAGGCTGTGCTCCGTGGTCATATATGGGTCGATGTGGCCGGCAGCCATAGGCGCCTTTACGTGCCAGCGGCCTGAACACGTTGTACATGTAGCCGCGTCCTTCGCAATTCAGCATACCAGCTGCGAGTAAGGATGATTAGCCTCCCAAATTATTATTATTATTATATTTGCGAAAAAACAAGGTTACACCATCCATTTAAGCCTAATCCACTTCAATGCTAAAACAATGCCTCGGAGCAGGGATGACTGCTAAAAATGCAAAAGGTGATTAGTTTTGCATCAGTGGTGACAATTGTAAAAGTTGTTTTTAATTGACAAAGCATATCTCTTTGATTGCAAAAATGTCAGTGCTGAAGATTATCACAGAAAAGTCAATGTATATGACAGTTCTGACCAAAATGATGTTTTATACATCTGGTTCTTAGAATTAGGATTGTTTTGGAGTTAATAACTTCACAGTATTTATCTTCAAACTTCTCTCGAGTTACTCAAGTTGGACACTGGCTAACTTGAAACGTCACCAGTAATGAAAAATAGCTATAGTGTTCAGAAAGTTGGCAATTTTGTCAGTTAACTTAAAACCCTCCTTTTGTTTGATCAGTCATAGACACTTAAACATTCAATCCTGTTCCCCTACAATGTATTTTACACAGGCTAGTCACCACCAGTCAGATCAGAAGGATACTTGTTATACATGATGACATGGCAAGTTCATCTGTTTTTGATACAGCATTGATTGAAGTTGATGTCTACATTGCTTGTCGTTATTATTGATTGTCAAAACCATTGATCACTTGCTGAAGCATGATTGATTGAAATGGAAATGGAGAAACAAGGCCTCTCATAGATGATCAGTGATTGCAGCTGGTAGATGTCACCGATTGGAAGGTTGACCACTAGCAGAGAAAAAAATGATCACAGTCACTTGTGGAGAAATTAATTGCTGTTCTAATTACCTTTTTGTAGAAACTGGTCACTTGATGGTTGCAATGTATCTCTGCTACAACGGTGATTGGTTGTGATTGTTTATCCAGCTTGTGTTTTAAACACTGATCCGTAACGGAGGAAGTTTGTCTCTGCTACAAACATCAAAAAGAAAAGAAAAAGAAAACTTTGTGGGTTGTTTTCTGGTAGGAGGCACCCGATCCTTGGAAAAGCCCCACTTCAGGGTGTTGCCTAGGTAACTATTGCCTTGGTAACGGAGATGGCGTAACCCATGCTGCGGTGTGGGAGCCTAGTTGGCGTGGTGTGTGTCAGTATAGTAACTGAAATGCTTAAAAGAAGTTTGGAAGATGCAAATAGTTTGAGATCAAGTCGCCGGTAGAACTAAAGTCAACCATTTCCTGCATTTTCACAGTGACATCTTGCCTTAACTTCTCTTTGCCTACATGTAAGTTTAAACAAGAAGGTTTCATACTTTCATATGAATATACAAATATTTTCAGGAGGTTTAGGTTGCCACTGCAGTCCATGCTAAATGAAAGATCTCACAATGACTCCCTTTATGCAGAATTCACACAGATTCAAAATTTCTAAGACTTGATCGAGGAGTGTCATTTGATATCTGTTTTGTTCCTCATGATTTGTGCTAGAGGAAGATGCTTTTTGGTTGTTCTAGTTGTCATGGTAGGAGGCGCCTGATCCTCGGAATAGCCCCACTTCAGGGTGTTGCCGAGGTAACTATTGCCTTGGTAACGGAGACGGCGTAACCCCATGCTGCTGTGTGGGAGCCCAGTTGGTATGGTGCATGGAGAAGGATTTATAATTGAAATGCTAACAAAGTTTGGAATATGCAAAAGGTTTGGGATGCAGTGATCTTAGAACTCAAGTTGACCATTTCCTGCGTCGGTAATTAACCCTCCTATGAAAACATGCGTTGTGTTAATGCCATTGAACTTCTCATGAAGACAACACAACTATGTGAAATGCTCTCAGGATATGATGCCTGTAAGTTTTCTACGTCTTGAACAAATACGTTGAAATAGAGCATTTTTTAAAAGTATTCTTTCCTAAAACTGAAGAGCTAAAACTACCGCAAGGTTGACTGATCAGCATATTGCATATTTGAAAAATGATGTTAAATTGGAAAAGGAGTGTAGGCAAGGAGATAAGCCCGCTAAAAAGAAATATTGGCTCCCCTTGAAAGTTTGAATGTAGGTACATGTACATGTTAATATCTTTTAGCAAAAATGGTTCTGTTTTTTATTATTCTAAATTCATAGCAGAGTTTAATTAATTAAAGGTCGAGGGCAAGTCCAAGAATATGCCCACGTTACGTCCCAAACGTATAACGAAAATGTAACCCTCCAAGATATTCATGGATTTCAGTGCTTTTTATTCTACTGTTGGGAAACTGCAAGGAGAATACCCACACAAATGTTTGTTATTATTCTTTTCTTGGACTTACCCTTGATGTGATCTAAGGCTGAGAAAGTCTTGATTTATCTCTGCTTTAATTTATCTACTTGTTTAATTTCTTAACTGTAAAAACATAAGTTTGTTGTTAAGTATTCAAAAAGGTGTGTGCACTGCATAACAGATAATTGATGTCTGGATTTTGAATCAGGCCAAGAAAGAAAATCCTGTGTTTCCGGTTACCTCACCCAACCTAGAAACACGTGCTAAATCTTTTATTTAAAAAGAAATAATCAATTTAAAAACAAACGATTACAAATATGTGCTGTACCGCTCCTACCCTGTTTTTGATGGACATTTTCCTGCATTTTGTTTGCAAAAATATACCACATTTTTTTGTAAGTTGGTCGGTAGTCCAGTCTTTGTTTCAAGCTTTACAAATGTAGAGCAAAAAAAAACCACAAAGATTTTAATCATCCACCTACCCTATTTTTTCTTGAAGACAGTTCATTTCGGCAAATACCGTAGGGTTGACTAGCATATTACTTAAAAAAAAAGAAGGGAGTTTATATTTTTATTTGTTTTGTTATAATTTTTTTGGAAAGAATGTTACAACCTGACGCTGCTTTTTGTTCTTCATATATCATCTCAATGAAGGTCAGTCATTGCAAAAATGATAAGACATTAATCTGGGACTGAGAAACATTTCCAATTTTGTTAGGAAATACTTGAAAATGTTCTTGACTCTCTATAGACTTTGTTCACAACCGCTGAAGTGGCGTCAGGTTGCAACATTCTTTCTATTTTTCTTTGCAAATAATGTTTTGATGCAGTCTGCAACTCAATTACTTATGTCATTACTCAAATAGATTATAAGGAAGTCTACTGAATTACACTGCAGTCAGTCTTCACTGTAACTGATCAATCCACTTGGTTTCATTGTCAAACAAGAACTTGGAATACTCCAGTACTTGTTCTAAATCTGGTCCTTTAGGTCATGTTGGTTACATGTTTATGGTCAGGATAGTGAGACAGTTTGGATTAGCCAAGTTCTCCAGCCCCGTCCCCTTCTCCTCCATCTCTCCTTGCTGAATGCTTCTTGTTAAACTCTTCCTGAGATCCATGACTGGCACACTATTACCAAGGTTATTTGAAAAGAAAAAAAACTAGTTAAGGAAATTTGAATGACAAAAAAATCACACTGGCTTCTTTACAATTAAGCCAGGTATCCTATGCTCAGACTGGCAGTATTTAGATAATTAGTTGGTGCCAAAATGGTTGAAACTTGTTTAAATTTCAGGGAAAAAAGGAAACACAGACTATACAGAGCACTAAAACCCGAATGAAATGTGTGTGTACTGTTACTTGATATTACCATGATATTTTAGTCACATTGATAAGGGCGTCTTCAAACGGCTGGCTTTAACATTCTGCTTTATCTGCTATGTAACTTTGGTCCGGAAATATTTGTTTCAACAGTCTATTGAAATCTGCAAACTTTCAGCATTTAACTGAAAGAAAATAGTATTCATACTTTGATGAAAACTTTGTAAATACCTTCTTCATATAATTATATGAAATTAAGTTTAAAATAAACCCCTATATTCTTTGGACTTCAGATGCAATACAAAATATACTATGGAATATCATGAAGAAACTTGCAAATGCCAGTACAATTTATTACAAATACTGATACTGGCAGGGCACTAACCAAGCAGTTAAAAAATGGCCAAAAAAGAGAGTTAAAGCCAGCCGTTCGGTATGCAAGTATTGTTTCTTGGTCTGCATTGAATGTAATATCAAGACACTCTGATGTCTCTTGTTCTTTTTCCCCCATCAGGTGACTGATCACATGACTCAGATGCTGGCTATTGATGGAGGTTTCTTCAGGCTCATCTTGAAGACTGCTGAAGGGACTCAGCTGGACTGGAGTGGCTGATGTTGGACAAAGCAAATCCATGGCAATGAGAGGTCTCTGTCACGCACGCACGAAAGAAAAATGGAGATCTCTAAATCCAAACGCACACCCAGAGAAATACAAAAAATGAATAAAACTCACAATTTCTCCGAGTTTGCCATTATTCACTCTGTGAGGAAATGCCTTCATTGCCATGGATTTGTCTAAAAACCTATGAAAAACAAAATGAATGAAATACTTATCCAGGCACATGTCACAAATTCCAAACAGCGTCCCAAACATAAGAACCCAGTTGTATAATGTTCTCGAAGAGACCTGCACCCAATTTCACGAAACTGTTCGTAACTTACGATGCGTCGCAGCGATGCGACGCATCGTATCCCTACGATTCGTCGCAGCTGCGACGTGTCCTGCTATCCATTTCACAAAACACGTTGTTAGTGCGACGCGTCGTATGTGTATTTATAGCACAACTCGGTGACTGTTTTATGTATTAAGTCAACGTACAGAAAATAGTCGTCTGGTATTCAACAAAGAGCTGTCGGATTTCCACTCGAAATTTGTTAAAACGTAGGACAAAATTGCGGCCGTGTAATGCAATTTTAAACGAAAACGAGCTCTCAGTGGACTGTGTAGCTACTTTGAAATTTCAAGTGCAATATTCCAGAGTAATTCAAAATTATTCAATGAATTTTCTATTTAAAACTTTACACACCTTGCCTCAGTATTATAATCTCGTTTATGTAATGTTTATGGCACAAAACTGGCTAAAAACGGACTCTTCTTATTTTGCGACGACTATTAGACACGTCGTAGCTTGCGACGTGTTTTAAGCCGTTGTCAAGGAACTTACGAAGTGTTCAACACATCGCAACTTTCGTGAACTGGATTATACAACACGTCGCGAGTTGCGACGTGTTACATGTCGTAACTCGAGTTGCGACGCGTCGCAGCGCTTCGTGAAATCGGGTGCAGATGTTTCAACTTGATTAAAGTTAATAATCATGTATTTTAAAATACCTCGTTTTGATATAGACATAGCTCGCCGTGAATTGACAAGTTCACTCTGATATAAGAGTTGCAATTCAACTCTTCTGTTTTGTACAAATTTTGGTGAAGGCCTTTACATTCATTCATGCCAAACTCCTAGACCCTAAGTGCATTCAAAAGCGAGGAAATTTGAACAGGTTTTTATTGTTCTCAAATGGAAAAAGTTGTCGGGACCAATTTGTTGACATGTGCCTGGTTAAAAGTGTGTTATACCTAATTTGATGTATTTATCAAAATACACCCAGCTTTTAGTTATAAACATGTATCTACAATGGCACATCATTAATTTATCGCTGATATTATGTAATTACAGCCTGTCAAGTTGCTCTTTAGTGCTATTTTTGAGTTGAATCCCTGGAAATGTTGTCTTTAAATTACTAATTTTGCAATAATTTTGAATGAGACAAAACAATCCACCAGTGTTTAGTAATGGAACATTTACTTGCAAATAATTCAGCTGTATTGTTTACAATACTTCAGCTGTATCGTTTTATGCATTATTGGCGCAAATGCAACCCAAACTAAAAGCGCATTTTCAAAAGTTTGTTAAAAAGATTTGAAAATTCGATAGGAGAAAAAAAATTGAATTTGTTGAAGAGCATAGATAGAGCAACTTGTTTAAAGTGCTTACTTTTTCATTAAATGTTACTTAATTATTTATGAATTTTCAAGAGTTTGTTTCTCACACTGAGAATGTTGTTTTATGATCTGAAAATTTATTGCTGGAATATTTCAAAACTTTCAGTATAGAATGGAACTTGTAAAACATTGCCAAATTGAGTTTGTCTACCGGTAGTTTGGTACTTGTTCAGATATTTGGTCAAAAACATGATTGAGTTGATAATATATCTGTTAATTATTCACGGAACTTTAGTGTTTCTGTCAATTCGAAAGCTCATTATTAATCTAGTTTGAAAGTGACAGATTTCGCATAAAAAAAGAAGAAATTCTGTTAAATGTTGAACTAAATAGATCAATTATACAGTTACTAAAGACAAGAGGATAACTTAATGATGTGCCATTGTAGATTGTTTATTTTTGTGACTTGAATAAAGTATGTTGGTTTGGTGTGATTGTCTTTTTTTTTATTGACATACCTGCTGTCTATTTTCACAAGTTTGCAGCACAAAAGAATGCCGTGTTCATATTTTGTTGGTTTAGTTTTTTGATGAAGATGTAAACAAGCTTGAAATAACTGGGTGGATGTTGCTTGAAAACAATGATCTTGTAAGTTTTTTATGGTTGATGATGATTGTAAATTCAAAACATGCTCATTTGCTGAGCTCTTGTTTGAAATTGTAGAAAAAAACTTTTAAAACTGGGAACAACTTCCAACTTCCACCATAAAATTGTTACCAAAAGTGGTGCAAATTAATTTGACGAAAATAGACGGCAGGTATATTGTTTTTGAAGTTGAGTAGGGACACAAGAGGGCCCCCTTCACAGTTTAACTAACTTTTTTCAAATTGGAATAAGAGGGCGCCCTTTTTATTTTTAGAGATTTTTGTAGAAGTCCAACTAAAAGAAGGGCGCCCTCAATTTCAGTCATGACAAATTGTTTCGACTCGTACTGTGAAGGGAGCCCTCTTGTGTCATGTTTAAATACTAAGTTAATATCACACAAGAGGGCGCCCTTCATTTTTTTTTTGTATTTTGACTTGGGGCTGGGAAAGAATGTCATGCCAGGAAGGGCGCCCTCTTGTGTAATGTTAAACTTGTAATTTTTTTGTCAACTCCAATTTTGCACACAATGAGGGCGCTGTTTAAATGAAATAAACCAGAATTCAAGAAAAAATACAAAACTAAATTGTTTGAATTTATTTTTACATCTTGGTATATTTAAAAAAAAATTTTTTTTTTTAAATATTTAAAAAAAAAAATTTGACCTTTGACCTAACCCATGAACTTGGCTTTGAACTTGGCCTTGAACTTAACCTTGAACTTGGCCTTGAACTTGGCCAAAAAAAAAGCCCAACACATGCAAGTCCCCCCGAGGCGTGCACGCATGGTGTTCCCCGCCCACAGACACCGACAAGCCCAGCAAGTCGCCCTCTATCTACATCAACTCATGATCAGTTGATCTTAGTGCGCACTAACTCCCCAAACTTGCAAGTCCAAATAATCGCAAATGACTTGGTTAACTCCAACATGATAAGGATCCTTATGAACTTCAACAATCCGTTTACTTTTCTGACAAAGTCGATGCCTTATTAACCATTTCAATTACTAAGTATTGCCATGGAAATTATATACCAACTATCACTCCAAAAATTGCCCAAGTAGAGATCTCTCTTGCATCTACTTATGATTGTCTCACTCAACATTTCCGTTGTTCACTGTTGCATCATGTTTCTGATCCATTTAAATGAAATGCATTACAAACAGGCTACAATTTGCCAGCTTTCTCCGATATTTCCAACGCAATAAGATTTTAGCACATTTATCTCAGCTACCATTTACGTAAATAACTTCCACGATATAACTCAGAAATCTCCCTGCCGTTTAATCACATCAACATGTACAGTGATCAGTTCATCTCATGAGTGTGTCAGTTCAATTTATTTATTAAGATAGCAAGTAATTGTTGTTTTTAATTGACATGCATGTTGAAAGTGAATTGGCGAAGGCCGAAGAACCAATTCAATAATAACATTTTCAAGATGGCAGAAGTAAAGTTTGTTAACAATGGTTAAATTTACCATCAAGTTTTTATCTTTAATTTTCAGAGTCTTATCACAGTTTACAATCGCTTTGCACTTGGGTAGCACATGTACATGTACATGTACTAATATTAGTTCATCAGATATTTTAAACCATCACAAACGATATTGAAATTTTGTACATTTTTTGGCGGCACTTTCACTAGTTTCTTATTTTTTTGAAGGGTGTACAAGAATAAATTAACGTCGAGTGAAATACTAACTGTTTGGAATATCAAATCAAATTGTGTATCACAATTTGCAAGTCTGAAATGCAATTTGCTTTGCGTAATATGTTTTTTTATTCATTTCATTTGTTTTCTTTATTCCAACTTGGAACACACCCGGGGAGGGTTACCTCACCATTTGAAACATCCATATTTTTGGCAGGAGAAAGCTAACTTAGAAGGCTAATTTAATAATAAGCCAATTTATTAATTAGAAGTGAGATTGACTGATTTCAAAGCAACTTCTTTTTGTATTTACCTTGTTTTTCTGAGAGCTTGAATGTTTTTTCAAGTCTTTTTATCATTACGTTAACTTTTTGCTCTTCTTATCGAAGTATGCACACATTTTGAAGTGTAAAAGTCCTTTTTTTAACAGTTGCATGCAATTCTCAGTTTGAATGGGCTAATACATCACAAGTTGTTGTTGTTTTTTTGGAGAAACAAAGCAAGAGGTACCTTTCCTGATCTTTGTGCCATCATTAATAACTTCTAGAAAATTGTCGTCGTCGTTAATTGTTGAAGTAATTTTTAGTGTTACAATTTCAAACAGCCCAAACCTATTTTGTTGGGTAGTTTAACTCTTTCCGAGTTATAAATTGGTTAGATTGGAACAGATTTCCAATTTTTCTTTTCTTCTTTGTAAAATGTACATCACATGTACACTTTTCACTGAGTGATCGAACACTTCTTTGCTCAACATTTCTGGCCAAACACTTCAAAATTTGCTTTAAACCAAGCGCAAGTTTTACAAATAAATGTACATTTTGTACACTGAGTAAATGCTTGGAACAATTCCAAGTTTTCATGTGGAAAACAACTTAGTTTTCTCAATTTGGGAGGCTCCGATGTGCCCTTCTGAAGAACCATGCTATTTCCTGGTTAATGTGCAGTGGCGTAGCTCATGGGGATGGGAGGGGCCTTCTAACATGTGGAGGGGGCTGTCTGTCCAATTGGACAAAATGGGATCTATCAAAATCCCATGCTCGGCCCATAGTTTGGCCAAACCAGATGGGCCCATGCATGTACATGTACATGTATCAAAAGTAGCAGCCAACATGTGCGGTCAAATGGTCAATTTAAACCATCAATTTAAATTTGATGTAGGGCCCACATGGACATATCAAGGGCTTCAATTTGTCCCCTCCTGTTTTCTTGTGGCCCCTCCTTCATTCTAGCTACGCCACTGTTGATGTGGTGGCAATCTGCCCCTCAGCATCCTCAGAAGCTGTGGCATCATCATGACACAGGGACAGCCTTGTCCCGCCATGGCCATCCATGGTCAAGTTTAATTGAAGTTTTCATTAATTCATGCACTGTAAAATGACAACATACATCCTCATCTGTTTTGCTTGCTAAACCCTTGTGTATCATGGCATTCGGAGTAAACATACAGGGCGAGTCAAAAAGAAAGTGACCTGGATTAACGATTTGTTCTTCTTTCTAAAAGCAGTCAAAGTTGATACATCAATGAAATACGTCTACAAATTACTGAACTTGATCCAGGCTACCAGAAAAACCTATTTCTATAGCTGTCCATGAACGCATTTGGAAGCTATGGAGCTGATAATTATTATTTACACACAGGCATTCGAATACAAATGAGATTTTGATCATTTGAGTCAAGACTGAAACAATATTTTTATTCAGTCAGATTTTGTGTTTTGAACATGAGGAACGAGTCAACTCTTTTATTTTCCTGAAATATTGATGACGAGTTTTGTCTGTTTGTCTTTGCAAATTTCCGTGGGAAAACGTCCATGTGTCATTTTATTTAAGGCATATTCGTAGCACAGTAGATGATCACTGTAGCACGGTAAATGATCAGTGGTGGACAGCTGAAGTTTGAGATCTTTTTATTAAAATAGACACAACTTGGGAATAGAGTACGCAAATTGCGTGAAATTTTCTTAGTTACTATTCAAGGACATGTACTTTATCCCGCTGTTATTTTTCTAAAATGGATCGAGTGACGTATTTTAAAGGCACTTTTTTTCTATTTTGGTCACTTTCTTTTTGACTCACCCTGTACTGCTATATGCCTACATTACAACAGATATTGCACATTTATGCTCTCATGCAAACCTAGGCAGGCCCCAGGACAAACTATTAAATGGCAGTTTCCGAGATATTTAAGTCCGAAATGAGACACTTGCGCATGTGGCAATCATGAAACATTGAAAGTTACATGTACATGCGCCATGAAACACTGAAAGTTACACGTACATGTACGTCCGCCATGAAACATTGAAAGTTACATGTACATGTACGTCCGCCATGAAACATTGAAAGTTACATGTATACATGTACGTCCGCCATGAAACATTGAAAGTTACATGTACATGTACGTCCGCCATGAAACATTGAAAGTTACATGTACATGTACGTCCGCCATGAAACATTGAAAGTTACATGTACGTCCGCGATGAAACATTGAAAGTTACATGTACATGTACGTCCGCCATGAAACATTGAAAGTTACATGTACGTCCGCGATGAAACATTGAAAGTTACATGTACGTCCGCCATGAAACATTGAAAGTTACATGTACGTCCGCCATGAAACATTGAAAGTTACATGTATACATGTACGTCCGCCATGAAACATTGAAAGTTACATGTACATGTACGTCCGCCATGAAACATTGAAAGTTACATGTACATGTACGTCCGCCATGAAACATTGAAAGTTACATGTACATGTACGTCCGCCATGAAACATTGAAAGTTACATGTACGTCCGCGATGAAACATTGAAAGTTACATGTACGTCCGCCATGAAACATTGAAAGTTACATGTACATGTACGTCCGCCATGAAACATTGAAAGCTACATGTACGTCCGCGATGAAACATTGAAAGTTACATGTACGTCCGCCATGAAACATTGAAAGTTACATGTACATGTCGAAGTTCATCAACAATGCGTAGTGAATTGCACATTCATTTTTTGGCACATTGTTTTCGTGTGTGCCTTTTCTGGGGCATTTATTTTCCCGTGAATCATAGGTTTGAGCTTGTCTTTACAAAAGGTTGTGAGTACGAAACGCCCTGAATTAACGGCTCTCTTGTGGCCAACTACGTACTATGTACATGAAGTACATGTACATATCATTGACGACTTGACCAAAAAAGAAGATTTCTTAAATATTCTGGACATTATGTCCATTTCTTAATCTCAAGTACAGTCTGATGATAGTCAAGTAGAAGACCAGAACTGCAAGATAAGTTATCTGTTATTTCTTAGATTTCGTACATTATTGAAACTGCCAGTAATTGATGAGTTTTCCTGGGGCCTGCCTATAACAACCGCAAAGTTACGACTGACTTTAAACCTTTGAACCTTTGACATCATTAAAAAGAAACTGAAAACCAACAACTACCTGCACAGGCTTAATATGTCTTCCCAGACATTTACAAAAATGTATCCCTGCTTAAGTTGCACGTAGCCTAGTGTTCTGTGCCCTAATGACCTATCATTCAAACCAAAAGAACATCAACAACATCACTAAGTCCTAATGAATCTAGATCTCTTTGACTCTACCCTAGCATAGTTTGGCATTAACTTAGGAACTTTCCTACAGGTTCCTGGGGAAGGAATTGTGCCTTTCCAAGTTATCAATGTTTTTTTTACAATCAATATAATGATTATGCAATGGATGAAGATGAGGTAGAAATCAAACTGATTATAATCCTAATGTGCTAATTATATGTATTGCTGTTTCCTTATTTTTTTGACTGGAAAAAAATCA